CATCCTCTCCAGCATCTGTTGTCTTCAGATTTTTTAATGATTGCCATTCTAACTGGCATGAGATGGTACCTCAATGTGGTTTTGATTTGCGTTTCTCTAGTGACCAGTGATGATGAGCATTTTTTCATATGTTTATTGGCTTCACATATGTCTTCTTTTGAGAAGTGTCTGTTCATATCCTTCGCCCACTTTTAAATGGAATTTTTTGTTTTTTGTTTTTCTTGTAAATCTGTTTTAGTTCTTCGTAGATTCTGGATATTAGCTCTTTGTCAGATGGGTAGGTTGCAAAAATGTTTTCCCATTCTGTTGGTTACCAGTTCACTCTAATGATTTTTTCTTTTGCTGTACAGAAGCTCTGGAGTTTAATTAGGTCCCATTTGTCTGCTTTGGCTTTTGTAGCCAATGCTTTTGGTGTTTTAGTCATGAAGTCCTTGCCTATGCTTATGTCCTGAATGGTTTTGACTAGGTTTTCTTCTGGGATTTTTATGGTGTTAGGTCTTATGTTTAAGTCTTTAATCCATCTGGAGTTAATTTTAGTGTAAGGTCTCAGGAAGGGGTCCAGTTTCTGCTTTCTGCACATGACTAGCCAGTTTTCCCAACACCATCTATTAAATAGGGAATCCTTTCCCTGTTGCTTGTTTTTGTCAGGTTTGTCAAAGATCTGATGGTTGTAGATGTGTGGCATTGCCTCCAAGGCCTCTGTTCTGTTCCATTGGTCTATATTTCTGTTTTGGTACCAGTATCATGCTGTTTTGATTACTGTAGCCTTGTAGTATAGTTGAAGTCAGATACTGTGATGCCTCCAGCTTTGTTCTTTTTGCTTAGGATTGTCTTGGCTATTTGGGCTCTCTTTTGGTTATGTGTGAAGTTTAAAGTATTTTATTTCCAATTCTGTGAAGAAGATCATTGGTGGCTTGATGGGGATAGCATTGAATCTAGGATACAAAAGCAATGTGCAGAAATTACAAGCATTCCTTTACACCAATAACAGACTAACAAAGAGCCAAATCAAGAGCGAACTCCCATCACAATTGCTACAAAGAGAATAAAATACCTAGGCATACAAGTAAGAAAGGATGTAAAGGACCTCTTCAAGGAGAACTACAAACCACTGCTGAAGGAAATAAAAGAGGACAAAAACAGAAAAACATTCCATGCTCAATTGTTAGAAAGAATCAATATTGTGAAAATGGCCATCCTGCCCAAAGTAATTTATAGATTCATCTTAACCATTTTTAAGTACACATTTCATCAGTGTTAAGCATATTCACATTGTTGTGAAATATATCTGTATCTCCAGAACTTTTTCATCTTGCAAATCTGAAGCTTTTTTATTTCGGAAATATGATCTTGCAAATCTCCCCTCTTCTATTTCCATTAGCACCTGGTAACTACCACTCTACTTTCTGTTCCTCTGAATTTGACTATTTTAGACATGTCATGTAATTGTAACAATATAGTATTTGTGTTTTTGTGACTGTCTTATTTCACTTAGCATAACGTCCTCAGGTTCATTCATGTTGTAGCATGTGACAGGATTTCCTTCATTTTTAAGGCTAATAGTCCATTGAACATTATTCATTTGTTCATTGTTAAATGTTTGGGTTACATCCACCTCTTGGCTAACGTGAATAGTGCTGCTAGGAACATGGGTATAGAAATACCTCTTTGATACTCTGCTATTAATTCTTTTGTATACATAACTAGAAGTTAGATTGCTGGGTAATATGATGGTTCCATTATTAATATTTTCTATATACTTCCATACTGTTTTCCATAGCAGCTGTACCATTTTACAATCCCACCAACAGTGCACAAGTGTTCCAATTTCTCCACATTTTTGACAACACTTATTTCCTGTAGCCATCATAATGGGTTTAAGGTAATATCTCTAAGAGGTTTTGATTTGCATTTCTCTATTAATTAGTAGTGTTGGCCATCTTTTCATAGAAAACTATAAAGATTTTTATATATGTCTTTTGTGAACATATATTTTCACTTCTCTTGAGTAGATACATAAGAATAGAACCAGGTCATGGAGTAGTTGTATGTATAACTTTATATGAAACATCCAAACTGTTCTCCAAAACAGTTATGACATTTTACATTCCCATTGGAAATGTTCCACTTGCTCTAAATTCTTAGTAATATTTGTCTGTTTGATATTTGCCTTTCTAGTGTGCTTGAAATGGCAACTTATAATTTAATTTGCATTTTCCTGATGACTAAGTTGCTGAGCACCCTTTTAATATGTTTACAATTCACTTGTATATATTCTTGTGTGAAGAGTCTGTTCATGTTTTTGCCCATTCTTCAACATTGGGATTCTTTTTTTAAATTACAGACTTTCTTTATATATCCTGGATAGTCTTTGCTGAACTATTTATTTTGTAATTATTTTTATTAATTTGTGACTTGTCTATGATGTCTTCTGTTGAGCAACGTTTTGTTTCAAGGAAGTCCAATTGTCTAATTTATCATTTTATTTCTCCCTCCAACTCCGCTCAGTTTCCCCCTCTCTCTCCCTTTGTCCTCCCCCTTTCTCTCCTTGTTTCTCCCTTCTCTCCTTCCTTCCTTCTTTCTTTGTCTTTCTGTCTTTCTTTCCTCTTTTTCTTTTCTTTCTTCCTTTTTTTTTTTTTTTTTGGTGGCCTGTCTAAGAAATCCTTGTCTAGTTCAAGGTTCTGGGTTTAGGCCTATGATCCATTTTGAATTACTTTTTGTGTACAGACTGAGACAATGATCAAGGTTCTTTTTTTGCATACAGATACCCAGGGTTCCAGTAACAATTGTCTTTAAAAAGCTTTCCATTGAATTAATGTTGTAACTTGGTGAAAAATTAACTGACTAAATATTTGTGCATGTAGTTTTGGAGTCTGTGTTCTGTCTCATTCACTCATTAGTGTAACCGTAATGCCAATATCACACTCCCTTGGTTATCGTAACTGTAGAGTACATCCTAAAGTCAAGTGGTGTAAGCCTCCAACTTTTTTTTTTAAAGATTTTTTTGGACATCGTAAGTCATTTAAATTTTGAGTAAATTTTGAAGTCAGTCTGTCTGTTACTTCCACAAGGCTTTCTGTAATTTTTGATGGGGATTGCAATGAATTTATAGAGACATTTAGGTAAAATGGACATCCTAGCAATACTGAGTCTTCCAGTCCATTAATGTGGTATATGTCACCATTTATTTATCTTTATTTTTTCTTATCAAAGTTTTGATGCTATTATACATGTTGAATAGAAATGGTGAGAGCAGACATCCTTGCCTTGTTCCTGGCCTTAGAGGAAAGAAATCAATGTTTTATTTTTAAGTTTGATGTTACCTGAAGGATTTTATGTTTCTGAGTTTTTATGATTTATTAATCATAAATAGGTTTTATATTTATATTGCTATCTATTGCAATTATTCTATGAATTTGCTCTTTTATTCTGTTAACTTAGAGATTTATTAAATTTATTACTTAACAAACAATTCACATAGTTTTTAAAAGAAATATTAAACACATCTTAATATTCCCAAGATGAATTCCACTTGGTCATGATATATATCTTTTTAATATATTGCTAGATGATATTTGCTAATTTTTTTTGTAGGTAAAACTGTTTTTATTAGTCTTTTTTAAATTGCATTTTAGGTTTTGGGGTACATGTGAAGAACACACAAGATAGTTGCATAGGTACACACGTGGCAGTGTGATTTTCTGCCTTCCTCCCCTTCACCTATATCTGGCATTTCTCCCCCTGCTATCTCTCCCCAGCTCCCTACCCCCCACTGTCCCTCCCCTATTCCCCCCAACAGACCCCAGTGTGTAGTGCTCCCCTCCCTGTGTCCATGTGTTCTCATTGTTCAACACCCGCCTATGAGTGAGAACATGCGGTATTTCATTTTCTGTTCTTGTGTCACTTTGCTGAGAATGATGTTCTCCAGGTTCATCCATATCCCTACAAAGGACATGAACTCATCGCTTTTGATTGCTGCATAATATTCCATGGTGTATATGTGCCACATTTTCCCCGCCCAGTCTATCATCGCTGGGCATTTGGGTTGGTTCCAGGTCTTTGCTATTGTAAACAGTGTTGCAATGAACATTCATGTGCATGTGTCCTTATAGTAGAACGAATTATATCCTTTGGATATATACCCAGTAATGGGATTGCTGGGTCAAATGCTAATTTTTATTTTTTATCATACTTTAAATTCTGGGGTACATGTGCAGATATTGAAGGATTGTTGCATAGGTACACACATACCTTGGTGATTTGCTATCTCCATCTCCCCTGTCACCTACATTAGGCACTGGGAGAAATGCATGATATTTGCTAATTTTTTTAAAAGAATTTTTGCATCTGTGTTTTTAAGAAGAATTAGTGTGTACTTTCAATATCAGTCAGGGTTATGTTTGGCTTCATAAAACAAGTTTGGAAGTCTTTCTCTTTTTCTAAAAGATTTTGTGTAATACTGATGTTATTTATTATTTAATTTTTAATAAATTTCATCAATAAAATCATTTGGTCTTTGGATTTTCTTTGTGGGATGTTTTTGAAAATCAATTCAATTTCTTTGCTAAATATAGTGCTACTAGGATTATTATTTCATATTGTGCCAAGTTTAATAAGTTGTGTTTTTCAAGAAATGTCAAATTTGTTATTGACTTTATTAGCATAAAGTTGTTTATAAATTCATTTTTCATCTTACTGATGTCTGTGTGATCTGTAGTGATACCACATCTTTCATTCTAGATATTAATCATTTTTACTTTTTTCTTTATCAGTCTTCTTAGAGATTTATTAATTTTATGAATTTGTTTTAAAGAAAAATATTTCAATCTTGTGAATTTTCTCTACATTTTGTCTGTTTTCTAAATGATCTTTGCCCTTATCGTTATTATTTCCTCCTTTCTGCTTATTTTTGGTTTAATTCATTCTTATTTCTCTAGCATCTTAGTGAGAAATGAAGATCCTTGATTTTGAACATTCTTATTTTTCCCTCCCATTTCCAGATGAAGGACTTGCATCATGAGAATATTAACCCTTTACTGGGTTTCTTCTATGATTCGGGGATGTTTGCCATTGTGACAGAATTCTGTTCCCGAGGGAGCCTAGAAGACATACTGACAAATCAAGATGTGAAACTCGACTGGATGTTTAAATCATCACTCCTGCTGGATCTCATCAAGGTAAATGGGAAGACTGAGGAAATCTTGGATTTTCTCTGTAGATTAGAACTGTAATATTTTGGGATATTTTATATTCCTCAGATTATTGTGATCATTTCACTCCTTACTTTCTGTATTAGTCTGTCTGTTTTCATGCTGCTGATAAAGACGTACCTGAGGCTGAGATGAAAACGAGGTTTAATTGGACTTACGCTTCCACAGGGCTGGGGAGGCCTCAGAATCATGGCAGGAGGTGAAAGCCACTTCTTACACAGTAGTGGCAAGAGAAAATGAGGAAGAAGCAAAAGTGGAAACCCCTGACAAACCCACCAGACTTCGTGAGACTTATTCACTATCGTGAAAATAGCACAGAAAAGCCAGCCTCCCATGATTCAATTACCTCTTCCTGGGTCCCTCCCACAGCACGTGGGAATTCTTGGAGATACAATTCAAGTTGAGATCTGGGTGGGGACACAGCCAAATCACATCATTCCACACTGACCCCTCCAAATCTCATATCCTCACATTTCAAAACCAATCATGCCTTCCCAACAGTCCCTCAAAGTCTGCAGCATTAACCCAAAAGCCCGTAGTCCAAAGTCTCATCTGAGACAAGACAAGTCCCTTCTGCCTATGAGCCCGCAAAATCAAAAGCAAGCTAGTTACTTCCTAGATACAATGGGGGTACATATGGGGTAAATACAGCTGTTCTAAATTGGAGAAATTGGCCAATACAAAGGAGTTATAGGGCCCATACAAGTCTGAAATCCACTGGGGCAGTCAAATTTTAAAGCTCCAAAATGATCTCATTTGACTCCAGATCTCACATCCAGGGCACGCTGATGCAAGAGGTGGGTTCCTGTGGTCTTGGGCAGCTCTGCCCCTATGGCTTTGCAGGGTAAAGCCTCCCTCCTGGCTACTTTCATGGACTGGCATTTTGTCTATGGCTTTTCCAGGTGTCCAGTGCAAGCTGTCAGTAGATCTACCATTCAGGGATCTGGAGGATGGTGGATCTCTTCTCACAGCTCCTCTAGGCAGTGCCCCAGTAGGGACTCTGTGGGGGGGGCTCTGATCTCACATTTTTCTTCCACAGTGCCCTAGCAAAGGTTCTCCATGAGGGCCTTGCCCGTGTAGCAAACTTTTGCATGAGCATCCAGGCATTTCCATACATCTTCAGAAATCTAGGTGGAGGTTCCCTAACCTCAATTACTGACTTCTGTGTACCGTCAGGCTCAACACCACGTGGAAGCTGCCAAGACTTGGGGATTCCACCCTCTGAAGCTACAGCCCAAGCCTTATGATGGCTCCTTTTAGCCATGGTTAGAGCAGCTGGGACACAGGGCGCCAAGTCCCTAGGCTGCACACAACACAGGGACCCTGAGTCCAGCCCATGAAATTACTTCTTCCTCCTCGGCCTCCAGGTCTGTGATGGAAAGCTCTGTCAAGAAAGTCTCTGACATGGCCCGGAGACATGTTCCCCCTGGTCTTGGGGATTAACATTAAACTCCTTGCTACATATGCAAATTTTTGCAGCCAGCTTGAATTTCTCCTGAAAAAGTAGATTTTTCTTTTCTACTGCATTGTCAGGCTGCAATTTTTCTAACTTTTATGCTCTGTTTCCCTTTTAAAACAGAATACTTTTAACAGCAACAAAATCACTTTTTGAATGCTTTTCTGCTTAGAAATTTCTTCTGCCTGATACCCTACATCATCTGTCTCAAGTTCAAAGTTTCACAGATCTCTAGGGCAGGAGCCAAATGCCACCAGTCTCTTTGCTAAAACATAACAAGAGTCACCTTTGCTCCAGTTCCCAACAAGTTCCTCATCTCCATCTGAGACTACCTCAGCCTGGACCTTATTGTCCACAGCACTATCAGCATTTTGGTCAAAACCATTCAACAAGTCTCTAGGAGGTTCCAAACTTTCCCACATTTTCCTGTCTTTTTCTGAGACCTCCAAACTGTTCCAACCTCTGGCTGTTTCCAAGTTCCAAAGTAGCTTCCATATTTTCAAGTATTTTTGCACCAACACCCCACTCCCAGTATCAATTTACTATATTAGTCTGTTTTCATTCTGCTGATAAAGACATACCCAAGACTGGGAATAAAAAAAAGGTTTAATTAGACTTATAGTTCCACGTGGCTGTAAGAGCCCTCAGAATCATGGTGGGAGACAAAAGCCACTTCTTACATGGCAGTGGGAAGAGAAAATGAGGAAGAAGCAAAAGCAGAAACCTTTGATAAACCCATAAGATCTCATGAGACTTACTCACTATCATGAGAATAGCATGGAAAAACCACCTCCAATGATTCAATTACCTCCCCCTTGGTCCCTCCCACCACACATGGGAATTCTGGGAGACACAATTCAAGTTGAGATTTGGGTGCAGACACAACTAAACTATATCACTTTCCTTCCCATTTTGCCCCGACTACCCTTCTCACACTCCTTTAGTCCATATCTGTTATATGATACAGTTACAGAAAAGGTTTGCCTGTCCTCTCCCCAATTTGAGGTCCAGATTTTTCTTTCCTTCCTGTTGCCATTGAGCACTCTTCTGGCTTTAGTCAGTCTTTCTTTCATCCAATTTCTCTGCTTTGTAGATGTGAGAAAGTGCTCATTCCCAGATCATTTGGTGCTGCTTAGCCCTACCTCCTAGTTTTCACCCTTCTAAAAGGTGGCTCAGTCTAGAACTAGGTGATAGGTCTTTACATACCACAGATGTATACATGGAACTCGGTGCCACTGGAAAACCAAAAGACCAGTGGATCTATCAGGCATCACCTTTACTGTCTGAGCCAAAGACTCCTGACAGCCAAGGTAGGGTTCATAGATTAGTCCATGGATGAACTTCTGGGGATCCCATGAACGCCATGGAATGATATGCAAATTGTATACATATGCATTTTTTACAGGGCTGATCTGAATATTCAATGAGTTTTTGGGCTTCTTGCTTATTGATCAAAGTCTTGACCTTTATCTGCTAGCCTATTCCTTTTTCAGGGGCCTTGAAAGGGAAAGACATTCTCTCATTCCAGTTCTCTTTAAGATAGGTGTGATTAGCTTCCTTTTACAGAGGCTCAGGGAAGCTAAATGAGCTACATGTTGTTATATAGTGTCTGGCACATATAGTAGGTACTCAATAAAGATTTCTCAGCCAACTATTAAGTGGCAGGCTGACAATAAAATCCAAATCTCCTGATTCTTACTCTAGTACTTTTTCTGTTCACACTATAAGATAAGCCCAGTGAGTTAAGGCATTTCTAAATGACAATCCTCTCAGGGCCATGATGAATGAAAAGCAACCGTTAGACAACATGGGGGAAATCTTGCCCACTGTAGACTGCTTAGACGTACTGAAGAGTACAGACTATCCAAGAGCACAGGGTGAAAAGCATCCAAGTACAAAGGGGTGTAGCACTGCAAAAGAGCCAGATACTTAAAAGAACTTTTAGCAAGCAAAGTTCTGAAATGACTGTACTAGAATACCCATGTATGTATATGCAGAATGATTAAACCCATCTGAATGAGAGTCCCGGACACATTTGAACACCATATGAAGGCTGCCAAGCAAGTGATCAGTACTAGACAGCTTTCTTCTTTTTGGTTGCCTATTTTTAATTACAAAAATAATATATTAAGTTTAAAAATCAAATGATTTTTAATGACATTTATTCAGCCGTCTTTCTTCATACTTCCTCCCAAAGTTAACTACTGCTAACAATTTGGTAACCAACCTTGTAATTAATTTCATGTGTATTTATACACATTATAGATGATATTTTTGTTTTTTAAATATACATGCTATCACATAGTTCTGCAATGACTATATTTCACTTAATTTATGGCTTAAAGTTGTTTCCATGCCAGCTACGTGCAGTTCTATCTTATTATCTTTAAGTGCCGCAGAATATTCCCTAGTGTGAAGGTACCACATTCTAGCCAGTCCCTTATTGATATTTAGTGCACTTCCAGTTATATACTATTATAAAAACAAAGCTACAACAAGCATTCTTCTCTTTGTATCTTTGTGTTTACATGGAAGCATTTCTCTGGGGGAAAGGTAGAATCTCTGGGTCATAGAGTACACATAGTTTACATTTTGATAGCTATTTCCAAATTGCCCATGCACAAGTTTGTCCCAGTTTCCATTCTTGCCAATAATGGATGAGAGTGGGTTAGACCTTTTGTGGAAAATCAAAATCTCCAAATTCCTGGCAATTATATGTATATGGATCCATTCTGTATCTGGAATGTTAATAAATCTCCTAGTAACACATAATTCTCTCCACACACAAGATGTCATTCTTCATCAAAGCATAAAATTTTAGAACTACAAGGGATCTGAAAACTGATGCATGTTGTCAAATGTTTACTTTGTCAGCATAGAAAAGCATAAAGCTGAGTTTGGGATCATAATAGTACATGCCGTTAACAATCTCAGAAAGTGTTGTTAAAGGCATAAAAAGTTAAATAAGTTGCTAAATAAATCCTGTTTTGTCATCTATAGGGCATGAAGTACTTACACCACAGAGAGTTTGTTCACGGGAGGCTAAAGTCTCGAAACTGTGTGGTAGATGGGCGTTTTGTGCTAAAAGTGACAGATTATGGCTTTAATGACATCTTAGAAATGCTGAGACTCTCTGAAGAGGAATCTTCTGTGGAAGGTAAGCAATGAATTGTACCTTCTGATGCACACGAGGTAACTCCAAAGTTCAAATGAAAATATGCACTGAATTAAAGCCTTAGGCTGATTTCAACTCTCCACTTTTGTTGAAAATCTAGCCTCATTTCCAAGCCAAGGGACTTGAATGAAGTAGGCCTGCTTTAACCTCGGCCCAGCCCAGCTTTCTGAACAAAGCCAGTGTAATAATGTTCAGTTCCTGCTGTGGCAGGATTAGGCTGTATTGTTTGGAGACCCCAGCAGTCCCTGGAAAAACTTGCTGAGCACTGGGCACACAGTAGGTGCTCAATAAATACTTGTCAAGTTGAATAGAGGGTAATTTGGAAACTGGACCCCCACAAAGTACATTTTAGAATGGGATGTCACTACAGCATACCAGCACTGTCCCTGTCTGAGAGGAAGAAGCGAGGAGTGATCTCTCAGTAAACAAATGCTCTATGGGTTAGTTACGTGGAAAGGCTTCAGGCAGACCTATGGCCTTTTAGCTGATAAATGGGCATGCCTGTGTCAAACTCAAATAAAAATATAGAGAGAAATCTTTAAATGAAACATTTTATTTGGGAAAACAGATTTTCAATTTGTGGCATGTATACAGACCAGGGTGGTCCTTGGTATGTCCAAAGAGTACAGAAAGGTTGGAGGTTTTACTGAAAAGAAAAATGATATATATTGTTTTTAAAGAAAACTCAATGGTACTACCAAATTTTTGGGAGTAGGAAAGCTCTGATTGGTAAGTGATGGCCGTAGGTAAAACTAGTCTGAGGATTATGACAGTTTGTTTCAACAGCTACTAGGTAAAACTGATCTTAAGATCATAGAAGGTCATCTTGGCATGTGGCTTGCATGATTGTTCCTGGGCAGGCACTTGTGCCTCAAGTACTTTTCCTTTTCGCCTGTGGTCGGTGTACTCCAATTTTATTGGATATAACAAGATAATTCCAATTCATATCATCAATTTTCAAACCAACAATGTCCATTTTGTGTTTTTGTCTTCTATCTAGTACACCAATGATAGCACTGAACAATGCTTGTAGGAGTCATAACAGATCAAATAAATAGGAGAAATCTGATACTGGGGGTGCGTGGGGTGAGAACCAGGGAAGAATGAGCTGATAGATGAGAGAGACAGAAGAAAAGAGAGAGAACACATATGGTGAAATACTTATAGGAAATGTGGGCATCAAATGTTTTAACTAATATTGCAAGTATAAAGAAGAGAGATAGTGACATAATAAGACAGAAAAACAAACAGCCCAAAAGAGAGAGAGGGAGAGATGCAAAACTACATCATATATCCATATTCTTAAAATGATCTTCGGCATGCATTTTAAACCTGATGAATTTTCTACATAAAAGAAAAAAGAATGAAAGACACACACAGAGAGACACATGCACAGACAGACAGTCCAGTGACTGGTGGCATAATCTTTGCTCTTTATAAGACTCGGGGATTATTAAATTTCGGGAGTCATCTAGTCTAATTCTCTCCTTTTATAGATGGGACAGTTGGAGCTCATGATTTGCTCCAAACCTGCAGTGACTTAGCAGCAGTTCTAAGGCTTCAAATTCAGGTTTTCTGAAGTCTAGCCCTTATCATGTACAGATCGCAAGTACTTATCATTCTGTCAAAATCAATTCTCTATAAAACTCAATACCTAGCTTCTCAAGAGTTCCATTTAGTTTTCAGATTGGCAGCTTTGAAACTTACGAAAATCTAGTAGTAGGGTGGGCTCTCTTTTCTGGTTTTGTGATTTTGGAGGGACTGTGTCTGTCTTATCATTTCACTCCATTCTCCAAATTGCAGCAGCAGTATGGCTGGTCAGTCCATTCTTCACACACTGCAGCCAGAGGGAGCTTTCTATACTGCAAATCTGATCATGTAACAGCTGTGCCTAAATCTATTGAATGGCTTCCCGTTGCTCTAAGGATAAAGTTCAAATTCCTTTACATGGCTTAGGAGCTGAGCCCTGCATGGCCTGGAACTTGCTGACCTCTTATGCTAACCACATCCCCGCCTCTGTCTTTATGTTCTGGCTATGATGAACTCTTTCTAGTGTTTATTTACAACAGGCTGTCTCTTGCTAACAAATCTTCACACAAGCTGTGTCCTCTGCCTGGGACACTCTTTTCTTCCCATTTTTTCATATACTCATCTGGGTCCGGCTGAATTCTACTCCTTCAGGGTTCAACTTAAGTACCATTGCCTCAAGAGACTTTCCATAACCCCTACGCTGGGCTAAGTTGCCCTCTTTATGATCCTGCAGGGCCCTTAACTTTGTTGTGATGCCATATGTCATTAGTATCACTCATTCAATTAGGCTTCTCTGCCCCCACCCAAACTACAAGCTCTGTGAAGGCAGGAAACAGCTTGGCCTCTCTCAATGCCTTTCACAGTTCCTGACAGAGTATTTGTTGAATCAACAAATGAACAAAATAAAATGAAATAAAGGAACTTGTCTCCCTACCTTAGATGATAATGCTAAAATAATCTTATAACTGAAAGGCCATTGGATGTCATCTGGCTCAACTTCCATTTTATAGCTAGGGAAGCCAAGGTTCAGAAAGGTGAGCTACTTAATGGCCAAGCTACGATTTTGAACCCGGGTCTCTAGACTTCCAGTTCTGCGTTCTTTTATACTATACCGCAGTGGCTCTCCAAAGTCCATTCTATCACCCTAGCAAACCTGAGTTAGTTCTGGTTCCAGCAGATAAAAAACAAGCCAAAGTAATTTCTCTAGTTTTCCCGAGAGTTCAATGCTAATGGAAGTTAGTGGCTGTTACTTGGTTCTAAGTGGAGATGAGGAAATGGGGGTAGGTTGTAAGTGTATTCATTACTGTCCACTCTCAATTATAGTGCAGAAAAGCCTCATTTTAGCCATTAACAACATACATGTAAGTGCTCTTTGAAAATACTATTTGGTAATAATTCTATTTAATCACCCAGCTTTTTACCAGAGAATTTTGCTGTCCTTTCCCTTCTTGTGCTTTTAAATTTGCAGGGAGAAAGGATGCCAAAAAGAAGCAGCCACATGCCATTTTTCCTCCTCTCAAATATTCACTCTTGCACTTCTCTCCAAAACCATGGCGCCTAAAATCCCATGACTATAAATGTGTTACTTTGACATTCAATCACTCAAGTACCATTCGTTGTTTTCCATTTTATTTGTAAATATCAATTGCCCTAGGCAGGGAGACATAGGGACAAAATCACTATATGAGTGTGTTGGAGACTTTCATGGGTGTGGGTGAGTGGTGGATGGTGGGTGGAAGCTCAGAGGGGCCTGGTGGGGAGACAAAGCCTGGGGATGCTTTAAGAGCAAAGAGAGAAGATGGGTACATAATTGAGGGTGAAGCTGGAATTTCTTATTTCACCATTTTGATTAGGAGTGGCTGAAAATAAGATTTTCCACTGTGGATTTCTCTTTCCTGGGTTTCACTAACAAACCAAAATAATCTCGCACCTTTCACCCTCCTTCCTATTTCATAGGATGTCTCTTGCGCTCTCCTCCCAATATCCAAAATTTAACAAGATGAAAAGTTAGCCATTACTTTCCCACTGATACCGTCACCCATAGCAAAGATTTGTCTCCAAACTCACTATCTGGATGTCACCTTGTTGTTTACTCCAACTCCTCTCCTTCTCAAGGCACAGGGAACCTATCCCTAGCCCTGTCACTTCCTTCTCCATTGTAGCCTTCCAATGTATCTGGGTCCCTGCGTTGCTGCTGCTACCCTCACCCCCATTTAGGCCCCTCTCACCTCACTACCCACTCTTACTGCAATAACTTCTTAGCAGTCTCCCTGACTGCAGCCTTTCTCCTTCAATCCAGCTTGTGCAGGTTGCCAGATTAATCTTCCCAAACAGGGCTTTCATCAATCCCCTCTCCAGCTCCAGCACCCCTACTGCCTTTTGTATTCACTCCAAATGCCTTCATTTGGCTCTCAGGGCCTCTCACCTTCTGCCCCCATTCTTCCAGCCACTCACCCTCCCCCACTTCATCAACCCCATTTCTCATTTCTCATTATTCCTTAACAGAGCCTTTCTCTTTAGCCAAGTTAATCTGCTTACAACCCCCCCACCACCCACAATTTGCTCCTTTCTGCCTCTTGTTCTTTTGTACATACTGTTCTTTCTCCCTGCAAACCTTCTCAGCTCCAGAAAGTTGCATCCTTGACCTTCCTAACAAGCACATTTAAAATTTAACTTTTCCAGGAAGTCTTCCTGGATTAATTTAATCAGCTCTGTCTTTTTTTATTAGTTTGAAACTGAAAAATGGCTGACATCTACCCATTTTTGGTTCACAGAAATGGCAACTTTATATAATTCAATCTAAAACACTCTTCTTCTAGCTTTTGAATACTCTATTTATATTGTTAGAATATATTTCTTTACATATTGCTTTCAGTGCCCCCCCTCAAGAAAAATTTCTGACAATGTCACTGCCATAAACTCTGAAAGCAGAAATAATCTTTTGCCCCCCATGGGGCATGAAATGCAGCAGAGCACACAATGGGTGTTTAACTTTGGCCTTTAATTGATTCATTTCCCTTTACTGTATAGTGGCCCTCATCACTGTCTCTCTTTTATTGCAGTCAGGGGCACATATGTCTGTCTTTCCTACTGGTTTGTGAACTCCTCAGGTTTGATTCATCTCTGGCACCACCTCTGCACCTAGCACAGTGCCTGGTAGATAGTAGATCCTCAATAAATATTTGCAGAACTGAGTTGAAGGAATTGTTGCACCTTTTGCACCACAAGGAACAGGAAGGCTGGGGTTCCTCTAATCCTTTTAGAGGAGACCTAGAGAAAGCAACTTGTGAATCTCTTAGCCCCAGCACAATCAAATAACCAAACACATATAGATCTCAGCAAACAGCAAATCCATGGCAACCAGTGTGGTAGCACACTTGCCTTTCCCTGGAAACCTGCCAACTGGTACTTGCAGGCTCAAGAAAGCAAACACCAAAGAGTTTCTATACTCTGAGCTTCTGTGCCCTTCCCCACATTGCTGCTGTGTCTGCCTGCATGGTCCTGGAGTTTAGAGAATAGTATGTTTTCTCTGTTCATAATTCCTTAGAAGGATAGATTCAGATCCCAGGGGAGTGGGGGGCACTAGCATGGCAGTCTGTCTAATAAAAATATAAGGCAGCCAATAAAACAGCATGCTCAGAGCCCTTAAGGGCATTCCAGATGTTGTCAGTTAATCTTCCCTGCATTCATCACACAATGCTTTCTTTTTAGAGTTGCTGTGGACTGCCCCTGAACTGTTGAGAGTCCCAAGAGGCAGCAGGTTAGGTTCTTTTGCAGGAGATGTCTATAGCTTTGCCATCATCATGCAAGAAGTGATGGTCCGGGGTACCCCATTCTGCATGATGGATTTGCCTGCTCAAGGTAAGTGTGAGGTAAGGAAGGGCCCCAGGGGTCCACCATTACTGAGATCATCAGACCAACTCAGGCTGTCATGATTTTCCAGAAGAGTGTTAGTGCAGCTGGGTGCAATGGCTCACATCTGTAATCCCAGCACTTTGGGAGGCTGAGGTGGGTGGATCACTAGGTTAGGAGATCAAGAGTGGCCTGGCCAAGGTGGGGAAACCCCATCTCTACTAAAAATACAAAAATTAGCCAGGTGTGGTGGCAGGTGCCTGTAATCCCAGCTACTTGGGAGACTGAGGCAGAGAATTGCTTGATACTGGGAGGTGGAGGTTGCAGTAAGTGGAGTTTGTGCCACTGCACTCCAGCCTGGGCAACAGAGGAGTGTTAGTGCTAAGAGCCTGTTAGTTTGCAAGCAGCCCAACTTATGTACAGGTGGGACTTATAGCCAGAGAGCTTTAGGCATCTGGAAGAAATTTTCCCACCCAAGAAGCCAGTCCTTTTTCAGACTATGACATAAATCAACGGCTTAGTGGACTGATGTCAATCCTTTTTTGTTTTTCTTTTAAATTTCACAGTCCCCACTACTCCTTTGAGACACTCCCTGCCAAGTATTTTAGTATCCCTCATGATGCTACCGGATGTCAAGGCCTTACCACTTTTTCCCTGTGACATGCCCCAGGGTTTCATCCTAATCTCCCACCAACACACTTGGCTGTTAGGCTATCCATCAATAATGGCAAAATCAGTAGACAAAGTTTGAGAGGAAACAGGATATATATATATTCTCAAAGTATGAACCCACAAGATACTTATGAATTACAAATGGAAAAAATAGAGTTTACAAGTAGAGGATTCTGTAGATACCACCTTAACCAAGCAATCAAGATTACCAATAATAAGCTATTACCAAAGAGTGGAACAAGATGGCCAAATAGACACAACTCCAGTGCACAACACCCAGCAAGAGAGACCCAGAAGTCGAGAGATCTCCTAGCTCCAACTGAGGTACCAGGTGCATTTCAATGGGTCTGGTCAGATGGTGAGCAAAGCCCAGACAGGGCAGATGGAAGTGGGGAGGGGTGCTGCTTCACCCAGAAAGTGCATCTGACTGGTGAGTTGGAGGCTCCCCCTTGGCACCCCAGTCCAGATACAGCACTTTCCCCAAAGCCTCAGCAATCCACAGAACAGGAGATCTTTGCCAGTCAAGTGCTGGGAATTACAAGTGCAGAGTTGAATAATAATCCAGGACAGTATCCCAGATTGTTGCACAGATCTAAGCAAATGCATAAGCCCATAAGGCCACTGGGAGATACTGTGGATGGAGCTATGACCCCCTCCCCCTGCCTGGAGAGAGAGGGAGCTGAAAGCAGGAAGACAGATGGAGCAGCTGGGCAGGCCCCTCCCCCATGACCAGAGAGAGAGGAAGCTGAAAGTGAGGAGAGAGACAGTGCAGCTGGGTGGGTCCCTACCCTACCCCACAAACCCCAGAGGGCTGAAGCACTAACTCAAGCAGGTTATGCAGCCAGTGCCTCAGTCTGAGCTGAACCCTGAATGATCGAGTTCCACGGAGAAAACGTGCAACCCACCATTAAAGAGGCATGACTAGGCTTCATGTCTTAACACAAAACACAGGAACTCTACATAGCAATGGGATGGTGTTCTTGACCACCCAGCAGTGCCTCCATGTCAGCGGAAGAGGCGGGCCTAACCTCCCAGTGTAAACAAAAAACACACAAGAAGCCTACCTATTAACCTGAAGGAGTCCCTGGAAACCAAGTAGCACCTCGACAGGCAGACAAGCGACCTCATCAAGCAGCTCCCTGAGATCAGAGCCAGGTTAAACCACAAAGATAGGAAAAAACCAGCACAAGAAAGATGAAACCATCAATGACCAGAGCGCCTCTTCTCCTTCAAGGGATCACAACTCCTCATCAACATGGGAACACAACATGACCAAGAAAGAGTGTGATTAATTGACAGAAACAGGCTTCAGAAGGTGGGTAATAGCAAACTTTTCTGAGCTAAAGGAGCACATTCTAACCCAATGCAAAGAAACTAAAAACCTTGTAAAAAGGTTAGACAAAATGCTAACTAGAATAACCAGCTTAGAGAAGAACAAAAGACTTGCTGGAGCTGAAAAACACGGCACAAGAACTACATGAAGCAAACACAAGTTTTAATAGCCAAATTGATCAAGCAGAAGAAAGGATAACAGAGATTGAACATCAACTCAATGAAATAAAAAGAGAAGGCAAGACAAAAGAAAAAAGAGTGAAAAGAAATGAACAAAGCCTCCAAGAAATATGGGCGAAAAGACCTAATCTATACTTGACTGGTGTACCTGAATGTGACGGGGAGAATGAATCCAAATTGGAAAACATGCTCCAGGATATTATCCAGGAGAACTTCCCCAGCCTAGCAAGACAGTCTAACATTCAAATCCAAGAAATACAGATAACTCTGCAAAAATATTCCTCAAGAAGAGCAACCCCAAGGCACATACTCATCTGATTCATCAGGGTTGAAATGAAGGAAAAAATGCTAAGGGCAGCCAGAGAGAAAGATCAGGTCACCCACAGAAGGAAGCCAATCAGACTCACAGCAGATCTCTCATCAGAAACCCTACAAGCCAGAAGAGTGGGGGCCAATATTCAACATCCTTAAAGAAAAGAACTTTCAACCCAGAATCTCATATCCAGCCAAACTAAGCTTCATAACTGAAGGAGAAATAAAATCCTTTATGGATAAGAAATTACTGAGAGATTTCATCACCACCAGACCTGCCTTACAAGAGCTCCTGAAAGAAACACTAAACATGGACAGGGAAAAGTACCAGCCACTGCAGAAGCACACCAAATGGCAAAGACCAAAAATGCAATGAAGAAACCGAATCAACTAATGGGCAAGAAAACCAGCCAGTAACAAAATGGTAGGATCAAATTCACACATAACTATATTAACATTGAATGTAAACAGCCTAAACACCCCAATCAAAAGATGCAGACTGGCAAACTGGATAAAAAGTCAAGACCCATTGGTATGCTGTATTCAGGAAACACATCTCACATACAAAGACACACATAGACTCAAAATAAAGGGATGGAAGAAGATTTACCAAGCAAATGGGGAACCAAAAAAAAAAAAAAAGCAGGGGTGGCAATCCTAGTCTCTGATAAAACAGACTTCAAACCAACAAAGATCAAAAGAGACAAAGAAGGGCATTACATAATGGTAAAAGGATCAATCCAACAAGAAGAGCTAACTATCCTAAATATATATGCACCCAACACATGAACACCCAGATACATAAAGCAAGTTCTTAATGACCTAAAAGGAGATTTAGACTCCCATACCATAATAGTGGGAGATTTCAAAACTCCACTTGCAATATTAGACAGATCAACAAGACAGAAAATTAACAAGAACAATTAGGACTTGAATGCAGAGCTGGACCAAGCAGACCTAACAGACACATGCAGAACGCTCCACCCCAAATCCACAGAATATACATTCTTCTCAGCACCACATTGCACTTCCTGTAAAACTGATCACATAATTGTAAGCAAATCACTCCTCAGAAAATGCAAAAGAATAGAAATCATAACAAACAGTCTAACAGATAACAGCACAATCAGATTAGAGCTCAGGATTAAGAAACTCACTCAAATACGCACAACTACATAGAAATTGAACAACTTGCTTCTGAGTGTGAACTGGATAAACAATGAAATGAAGGCAGAAATAAAGTTCTTCAAAACCAATCAGAATGAAGACACAACTTATCAGAATCTCTGGGACACCTTTAAAGCAGTGTAGAGAGGGAAATTTATAGCAATAAATGCCCACATAAGAAATGAGGAAAGATCTAAAATCAACACTCTGTCATCAAAATGGAAAGAGCTAGAGGAACAAGATGAAAATAACTCAAAAGCTAGCAGAAGACAAGAAATAACTACGATAAAAGCCAAACTGAAGGAGATAAAGACACAAAAACCCTTCAAAAAATCAATATATCCAAGAGCTGGTTTTTTGAAAAGATCAGCAAAGTAGACAGACTGCTAGCCAGATTAATAAAAAAGAAAAGATAGATTAATCAAATAGATGCTATAAAAAATGATAAAGGGGTTATCACCACCAATTCCACAGAAATACGAACTACGAGCAGAGATTACTAAAAATGAATCTATGCACACAAATATGAAAGAAGTGCATAAATTTCTGGACAGTTGTACTCTAACAAGACTAAACCAGGAAGTAGTTGAAACCTTGAATAGACCAATAACAAGGGCTGAAGTTGAGGCAGGAATCAATAGCCTACCAACCAAAAAAAGTCTAGGTCCAGATGGATTCACAACTGAATTCTACCAGACATACAAAGAGGAGCTGGTTCCATTCCTTCTGAAACTATACCAAACAATACAAAAAGAGGAAATCCTCCCTAACTCATTTTATGAGACCAATATCATCCTAATACCAAAAACAGGCAGGGACTCAACTAAAAATGAAAACTTCAGGCCAATATCTATGAAGAACACAGATGCAAAAATTTTCAATAAAATACTGGCAAACCGAATGCAACAGCACATCAAAAAGATTATTCATCGCTATCAAGTAGGCTTCATCCCGGAATACAAGGCTGTTTCAATATATGCAAATCCATAAACGTAATCCATCACTTAAATAGAAACAAAGACAAAAACCACATGATTATCTAAATAGATGCAGAGAAGGCCTTTGACAGAATTCAACAGCCCTTCATGCTAAAAACTCTCAATAAACTAGGTATCAACAGAACATATCATAAAATAATAAAAGCTATTTATGACAAACCTTCAGCCAATATCATACTGAACAGGCAAAAGCTGGAAGCATTCCCTTTGAAATCAGGCCCTAGACAAGGATGCCCTCTCTCACCACTCCTATTCAATATACTATTGGAAGTTCTAGCCAGAGCAATCAGGCAAGAAAAAGAAATAAAGGTTATTCAATTAGGAAAGGAGGAAGTCGAACTGTCTCTATTTGCAGATGACATGATTATATATTTAGAAGACCCCATCATCTCAGCCCAAAATCTCCTTAAACCGATAAGCAACTTCGGCAAAGTCTCAGGATACAAAATCAATGCGCAGAAATCACAAGCACTCCTATATACAAATAACAGACTTAAAGAGAGCCAAATCAAGAACAAACTGCCATACACAATTGCTAAAAAGAGAACAAAATACCGAGAAATACAACTAACAAAGGATGTAAAAGACCTCTTCAAGGAGAGCTACAAACCACTGCTCAAGGAAATAACAGAGGACACAAATAGATGGAAAAACATTTCATGCTCATGGTTAGGAAGAATCAATATCATGAAAATGGCAATATTACCCTAAGTAATTTATAGATTCAATGCTGTCACCATCAAGCTACCAATGACCTTCTTCACAGGACTTGAAAAAAACCACTTTAAACTTCATGTGGAACCACAAGAGAGCCTGCATAGCCAAAAAAATCCTAAGCAAAAAGAACAAAGCCAGAGGCATCACACTGCTGGACTTCAAACTATACTATACGACTACAGTAATCAAAACAGCATGGTACTGGTACCAAAACAGAGACATAGACCAATGGAACAGAACAGAAGCCTCGGAAGCAACACCACACATCTACAACCATCTGATCTTTTACAAACCTGACAAAAACAAGCATTGAGGAAAAGACTCCATGTTTAATAAATGGTGTTGGGAAAACTGGCTAGCAATGTGCAGAAAGCAGAAACTGGACCCCTTCCTGTCACCTTACACTAAAATTAACTCCAGATGGATTAAAGATTTAAACATAAAACCTAACACCATAAAAACCCTAGAAGAAAATGTAGGCAAAACCATCCAGGACATAGGCATTGGCAAGGACTTCATGACTAAAACACCAAAAGCAATGGCAACAAAAGCCAAGGTAGACAAATGGGATCTAACTAAACTCCAGAGCTTCTGTACAGCAAAAGAAACAATCATTAGAGTGAACCAGCAACCAACAGAATTGGAAAAAGTCCAGAATCAACAAAGAACTAAAACAGATTTACAAGAAAAACAAAAAACAAAAAACCCATTCAAAAGTGGGTGAAGGATATGAACAGACACTTCTCAAAAGAAGACATATGTGAGGCCAATAAACATAAGAAAAAATGCTCATTATCACTGGTCACTAGAGAAATGCAAATCAAAACCACATTGAGGTAGCATCTCACGCCAGTTAGAATGGCAATCATTAAAAAATCTGAAGACAACAGATGCTGGAGAGCATGTGGAGAAATAGGAACACTTTTACACTGTTGGTAGGAGTGTAAATTAGTTCGACCATTGTGGAAGACAGTGTGGCGATTCCTCAAGGATCTATAAATAGAAATTCCATTTGACCCAGCAATCCCATTACTGGGTATATACCAAAAGGACTATAAAGCATTCTATTATAAAGACACATGCACACGTGTGTTCAATGCGGCCCTGTGTACAATAGCAAAGACCTGGAACCAACCCAAATGCCCATCAATGATAGACTGGCCAGGGAAAATGTGGTATATATACACCATGGAATACTATGCAGCCATAAAAAATGATGAGTTCGTGTCCTTTGTAGGGACTTGGATGAATCTAGAAACCAGCATTCTCAGCAAACTGACACAAGAATAGAAAACCAAACACTACATGTTCTCACTCATAGGCTGGTGTTGAACAATGAGAACATGTGGACTCAGGGAGAGGAGCATCACATACTGGGGGCAGTTGGGCAGGGCTAGGGGAGGGAGAGTGGGCAGTGGGAGGGTGGGGAGGGATAACATGGGGAGAAATGCTGGATATAGATGAAGGGGGAATAGAGGTAGCAAACCACCTGGTTATGTATGCACCTATGCAGCAAACCTGCATGACCTGCACAAGTACCTCAGAACCTAAAGTAAAATAAGAAAAAAATAAGCTATTACCAGTAATATGGCACATCCACGTCATGTACGCCTTGACATGATACACTAAGAAGGGCACAATGTCACCTCAGTGTTATTCTTGACCAAAAAAAATACATAACCTCAATCTGATAATGAGAAAATAATGAGAAAACTTTAGACAAACCCCAGCTGAGAGACATTCTACAAAATAACTGACTAGGATGAATCCAAAGTATCTAAGTCATGAAAGACAGGAAAAGAATGAAGAACTATCACAGACTGAAAGAGACAAAGACACAACAATTACATGCAATATGGGATCTTGAACTGGATTGTGGAACAGGAAAAGGACATTAAGGGAAAACTGATGAAATTCAAATAAGAACCCTAGTAATATTGTTGTATAAATGTTAATTTCCTTTGTACAATGGTTTCGTAGGTTATTAACGATAGAGGAAGCTGAATGAAGGTGTACAGGTGATTGTACTATTTTTACAACTTTTCTGGAAGTTTAAATTTATTTCAAGATAAAATCTTTTAAAAATGAAAAAAAAAGAAAGAAAAACTAAAACCACTTAGCTAGTCTTTGTCCCACTCAGGTCCTACATCATTCCTCTACTTAAAGACCTCCAACTGTTCCTCATCACTTGTTAAATGAAGTTGAGACTCCTCCCATGAAATACAAGGCCATTCACATTCTGGCCCCTAGCTACCTCTTAAGGTTTATCTTCTGTCACTCTCCATATCCCAGCTAAACCACATGACTGGCAGGGCCCTGCAAGTATCATGGTCTCTCCCATCTCTGTGCCTTTTCACATACTGTTCACAACACCTGGAATTTTCCTACCTCTTCCCAACCTTGTCTCATCCAACTCACGTCATCTGCTCTGGGAAACCTTCTCTGACTTCTTTAGTATGGGTCAGGTGCCTTTTCCGTACTCACAAGTGCCTATCTCAGCTAGAGCACTTATATTGTTTGCCAGTGTTTATTGCAATTGGACTGTGAGATCCTCAAGGACATGAATCATGCTGTGCCTAAGCAGAGAGGTGACCCATTCAACTTGATGATGTTCCGAGAAAGGGACAAAGACTCCATCTGCCAGAGAATGAATGGGGCAGTCAAGTTTCAGGGAGTACATTCTCATGAAATCCATTGTACTGAGAACAAGATGTTGTAACGGAGAAACCATTACTGTTACAGCCTGACCTGGGTTAAAGGAACAGAACGTGTAATGTCACAAGGAGCTGAGAAGTCAGAGGCAACTGCTGAAATTCTTTTATGGAGGCAAGGGGCTCATATTAGGGCATAAAGCAGCACTGTTGGGATGTTATAGCCAATTCAGGATTGGGAAGGGCATACTGGTGGGGCAACCAAAGTTTGGTTCCTGATGTGGTGATTAGAATCGGAGGTGGTGGGGAGGGGACTAAAGATGAGAAATGAGCCTGAAGAGATGGGGAAAGTGCTTGGATTTTGCTCTGCAGGTGATGGAGAGTCATAAAAGGCTTCTGAGTAAGAAAGTGACAGGGCCAGATCTGTATTTTAGAAAAGGTTTGGAGAAGGGTAGGCTGGAAGCCAAGAGATCAGTTTGAGGCCCGCTATGGGTTGCTGGGGCTATTGAGTGATAACGATTTTTTTTCCTGCTGCCAGGGAGTTTTTCTTTTTGTAAAAAGGTCAGTCTGACTGATCTAGGCCTTTTGTCACTAATGGCTGTTGGGTGTAAGTAGGGAGTCTAAGAATTCCCAGTTGAAGTCTGAGACATTTGGAAGCAGGACAGTGTAACAGATTGAGTTTGCCTGGGTTCAAATTTGAACTCTGTCACTTACTAACCATGTGACCTTGGGTAATAATTTCCCAAGCTATAAAATTAAAATAAGAGTGCCTACCTCACCTGTTTTTATGTGAGAATCCAGTGAAATAATACATGTAAAGCGTTCAGCACATTACTGGTATATAGTAAATGTTCCACGGGAAGTGGAGTTCACGGTCCAGCAACCAGGAGGATCTTGATGAGGCCTTGAACTGTTGACTGTGGTTCTTAATTCCCTTTGCCTAGATACCAGGTAGAAATCTGCACCTGGGCTGGGCCTGGCTTTGTAAGGAGAGTTAAGTGGGTCTATTGTGTGGATTGGAAGGCTTAGATGATTGGGGATGGGTGAGGGGAGCCAGGTCACTGAAGTTACAGCATTAGAATTGACATCAGATAGGCAGTATCTAAAACCTAGCAAAATCAGAATAAAGTTGTGCCTAAATAATACCAAGCGTCCAATTGATTAATTTCTCACCCCTCCCTCATTGCCTGATGTAGCTTTTGCTCAAATGTAATCTATATTCAGGCCACCTAAGAGAGACCAAAGGAGGTGGCCCTTCTGTGTTATCTCCTAATCACCCCCTTCTTCGCTAAAAGTCAGTTACCTTTGCCAAATCTTGGTGCTTTTCCCCATGATTTGTAAATTTCCTCTTCTTGCATCTGGACAGAAATCATAAACAGACTTAAGAAGCCTCCTCCTGTGTACAGACCAGTAGTTCCTCCTGAGCATGCCCCTCCAGAATGTCTCCAGCTGATGAAGCAGTGCTGGGCTGAGGCTGCAGAACAACGACCAACTTTTGATGAAATATTTAACCAGGTAAAAACTCTGAATCTTATTTCCCAGGAGCCATCCTAAAGTCAGTCTACACAAGGCTAACTCCTTGGGTCCTTGTCATATTGTGGAATGAACCTCTTGCAAGAGGTAAGGGCATTTGTCTCGAAGAAACAGCCTTGGAGTGGCAACTTCGAGGCCCTTGATGCTGGAGTGTCATCAGCACATCCTCCAAGAGCCCAAAGATTGGCTCTAGTTTTCTTCTGCATCTGAATCTCTGTGCAAGACCATCCACAATCTGGCCTAATCAACCTTTTAGAGATGGAATTGAGTCATCAGGCATTTTTAAGGCAATGACATTGAAACTATTAGATGATGGGTATCATGGAATAGCTGAGGCGCCTCACAGAGCCATGTTTACTTTGGAGATCCCAGAGAGCTTTGATGAGTGTACCAATTAGGTAATTTCAGGTTGTTTTTGAAAGGTCAGGAAAAATATGGGTGTTTGAAAGGGTGTTCAAGATGAAAGAAAGAACGTGCAAATGTGGCATGCAAAAGCAGGAGATTCCTTAAGTTCCCAGGCAATGGGTACATGAAAAGTGATAACCATTCTCCTTAAGATACTGAATTTCTAAAGATTGTGATTCTTTCCCTAGAGGTAGAATCATAAAAGGAGTTACTTACTCTCTTTATGTCTCAGTTTCCCTAGCTATAAAATTAAAATAAGAGTGCCTATCTCACCCGTTTGTATGTGAGAATCCAGTGAAATAATGCATGCAAAGCGTTCAGCATATTACTGGTATATAGCAAATGTTCCACTGGAAGTGGAGTTCACGGTCCAGCAACCGAGAGGGAAGGGGAGTGAAGGAACGGACTGAGTGAGCCCTGTTACATAAGCTACGGTGCAATTCCAATGTTGGAACATGCAGTTTAGGCTTTCTTGAAATTACAGGACACCAAAACTGAGGGTGCTCTCCATGAGTGCTGTGTCAGCTCTGGCAGAGAGGCTTTTGTGCCTGGCTGGAGTACAGCACTGAGATGCTTTATGAGTGGCAGGTATCTGAGGCGGAAAGAAAGAAAGAGTTGGATTGAAAGCCTGAGGGGCCCTGCATATGAAGGCATCCGTGTCCCCAGCTAACAATGCCTCCATTAGTCTGGCTGAGTTTCTTGAGGACACTCAAACAGGTATTCAATAGTATGGAAAAGGCGAAGGACCATGAAGGTCAAATTTCTAAAACCTTACCATGAGGCAGGAGAAAGAGCATTTGCCCCTGTGTTGATGCTAGAGATGTTATTTCAGAAGGCAGCAGAGAAGCCAGTGATAGATAGGGGGAGTGTACATCATGAGACTTTGAAACAAAACATTGCTAGAGCGGCCCTCACTAAAATGCTTCAGTGGAAGTTTAGACTGTCTAATGACAAGGCTACCCTCCTAACTTCCTGCAGTTAATAAATCTTAAGTGGGAGGAGGAGGAGAGGGAGGTTCCCTGGGTTAGGCAATAGGGGGAGCCCAAAGGATCTAAACTGGCTAGGAGGTTATCCCCAGGATTTTGGTGGACGTGCAGATATGAACCAGGCTCAGAAGGGAAACTCCTAGTGTTGGCACTGGGGCATTGGGTGCTAGGTGGAGCATGTGTGGACCCGCTATATCTAAGAGGTTCATTGGTACAGAGCCCTAGATTTCTGGTTAGCAAAACCGCCACCGATTTTTTGTTGTTGTGAACAAGGCCATGTGCATGTTGACTATAGCAGTACAGAGGGGCTACCCCTCATGATTCTAATGCTATGCCTCGCTCCCTGTTACTGTAGATAGACAAGGTCCTAAAAGGACATATTGAAAATTTGTGACATGCAGACAACTCTAAGGCATCAGGGGATAGAACGGGGGCAAAATCAGTTGAATTTTACATGACTCAGACTGACTCGAAGGACAGGTGCTAGAAGATACCACTATTCTTGGACTCCATGGTAAGAAATAGGGGTTGATGTTATCATGTGGATCTTGAGCCCTCTGTAAGAGGTCAAGAAACCTCTCACTGTTGAAAACCCGGCAACAGAGGAGCATTTGAGGATAAGGATGATTTAATAGACTGATGATCCAGAAGAGTAAAATGGCACTTTTGGCCCTCTTCCCCCTTACCTCACACACAATTCGCCTAGGTTCAATACCAAATCCTTTGCCTTTTAAGTGGCTACTATTCATGTGATAGCATCTCAGAACTGAAGGAGCCTGCTCAGAGCACCTGTGCTCAGACTTGAAAGAACCAGAGGGGAGGGGAAAAACTACTGGTGGGGGGGTGGGGGCGGGGTGCATGTGCCCTGTATATGGGGTCAGAGTGACAGTGAAAGTGGATAGTGACTTTCCTATTTTTATCTGGGTTTACCTTTCTTGCCCTGGCATCTTAGTGAAATGGATTTGTGATAAGGGGACCTGCTCGATCATCTCTAAGTTCAAGGAATAAGCATTTTCTAGTTGCCTTTTCTATTTTACTTCCAGTTTAAAACTTTTAATAAAGGGAAGAAGACCAATATCATTGATTCTATGCTTCGGATGTTGGAGCAATATTCTAGCAACTTGGAAGATTTGATTCGGGAGCGGACTGAAGAGCTAGAAATTGAAAAACAGAAAACGGAAAAGCTTCTGACACAGATGCTACCACCGTATGTGAGAACACCTGAGGAGTGTGAATCCCTATAACAGTGTGTTCTATTAAAAAAAAGAAAAAAATTACCCACCAACTAACTGCTCCCTCCCCTTGTCCTGCACCCTCTCTCCTCCTATTGGGCTTGAGTCACACCTTCAAATCAAAGTAGAATTGGAAACCAAGGGAAAAGAGCACACATTCTCATTTCCCACTACGTGTAGATCATGCTGGTCATTTAAGTTTTTGTGCCTTGGTGTTTCTGTATGTCATTTCGTGAGTTTGCTAGGAGGTTGACCAATTAAAAGAAAGTAGATCTTTGAGCTCCTAGAGGAAAGTAGCAAGGTCGTTTTTTCAGGTCTTTTCTCTCTTAGTTGACAACCTTATATGTTGCTGCAATTTCCAAATTTTCCAGGGTACGTTACTTATTATGTTATGACATAATCTTCTAGGAGATAATTGATGAAACTAGCCTCATGAAAGGGCAATCACCTGGGAGCATTCCCCAGGTGGCTGAGTTAGAAGTATAGAGAGCTGAAAAACTCCACATGAAGTCACAGCCCAGGTCTGTCCAGTGCTGTATTCCAGCACCTGGCACAGTCCCTGATCTATTGTAAGCACTTAATAATTATTTGTAGAATAAATTAGCAAATTAATATTTTCAGCCATGTCACACTTTCTTCCTCATCATTTATTAGCAGTGATTTTTAGAGATTTATGTGGTGCATTTTTAGCAGGTGTATGTGGCATGAAGGGAGGCCGGTGTCCTCTTAGGAATAGCTATGTCTGCTTTTCAGATCAGTTGCTGAATCTCTCAAAAAGGGCTGCACAGTTGAACCTGAGAGCTTTGATCTGGTCACCTTGTACTTCAGCGACATTGTGGGCTTCACAACCATTTCAGCCATGAGTGAACCCATTGAGGTGGTGGATCTTCTGAATGACCTGTACACACTCTTTGATGCAATAATTGGCAGTCATGATGTCTACAAGGTAGGTTAATTAGCAGAAAAATATATTCCATAGTGAAATTTTTATATGAGGCCCATCCATGTATATTCCCAAACTGAAGAATATAATTTATGGAATGTTGTTATTTAGGAATAAAGATTTAAATAGTACACCCCTTCCATTGGTATGTCGTTGGAAATGAAGGCCAGATAGAATGCATATAATTTCCCAGTTTACAAAATAACAACTTTCAACGCATCAAAAGATTGCCAGTCAGATTTCTTCTGAGCTTTTTTTCTAGAATTGGGACTAAGAAGATGTTGGGACCAAGTGAGTTATTATACATCAGTGGCTGAGTACTCATAGTGTAGGCAGTACTGTACTAGGCACTGAAAGGGCTCAAGAAGTATTGGTGTTTTGCCCATAGTTGGTGACTGCTACAGAGTTCATCTTGGGTAGGTTTGTGTAGATCTAATACATGCTATAAAAATTTGGTCTCTTCCTTTGGGTACTGTTTTATACAGGAGGGAACTTGGCATTACAGCAGGGGAATATTAGACTTAAGGCTCTTTGTGATTGCTACAGAGTAACCAAAAGTCTGCCTATGGTCTGAGGTCTGGGGAAGTGATTAATTGTAGCGTTTTAAGCCCCTGTTCCCACCGTCTCTCACTCCTCCAACCTATGAATTTTTACTCTTTCTATTAGAGTTTGCAAAATGACTGCATTGACTCATTTTGGTGCCATACTTCCTTACCTTTGTGTATATATGTTATCTTGTCTCTAGGCAAAAAATGACTAAGAATCTCATAGCTGTGCAGGGACATTTCTATGTTATCTGCATCATGGATACTTGTCTCACTGATGGAGAAAGATGCCTCAGGCATCCTAAACTTTAGACAGCTTCTTTGTCCCAGGACCAAAGTAGAGCTGGAGAATGAGTAGCTTCATTCATTGGATCCTTCACAGTAGTCTGAAATGTTCTAGCTCTCAAATCACACACAAGAAAGTGTGTTTATCTCAGATTAGACAGGGCCCTTTCAGGTCAGGTAGAGAGCCTCGGGGCTAGGCCAAGCCACTGAAATAGGGCTCACAAATAAACATCGTACCTGTCAATCAGCAGGAGCTGCAAGCTAATCAAGAAGCACACATGGAAACCATGGTGCAGGAAAAATCCATGGAATCAGAGTATCTGTCTTAACTTGTTGAAGTCAAGAAGCCTGAAGAGAAAAACAAATCACTGAAAGCTAGTTCAGTTGAAACTAAAATCAAAGATGATTCAGCGTGGGCTGTAACACAGCTACTGGTTTAATCAATCCAGCTGATTCTGTTCAGACAATTGTTGGGGGTCTTGGTAATAAGGCCATTAGATATTTTGGTATGTAATGGTTGCAGTAAGTAGTTAATGGGCTGTTGTTCTCAGAACAGAGCAGGGCTATATGAATCCAAAAGTGAAATTTATTTATTTGTATCCCTGTTTATTAAAAACAACACAGAGCAAAGGAAATAAAAATTAAACCAGGGCCGGGCGCGGTGGCTCACACCTGTAATCCCAGCACTTTGGGAGGCTGAGGCGGGTGGATCACGAGGTCAAGAGATCGAGACCATCTTGGTCACAAGGTGAAACCCCGTCTCTACTAAAAATAGAAAAAATTAGCTGGGCATGGTGGTGCGTGCCTGTAATCCCAGCTACTCAGGTGGCTGAGGCAGGAGAATTGCCTGAACCCAGGAGGCGGAGGTTGCGGTGAGCCGAGATCGCGCCATTGTACTCCAGCCTGGGTAATAAGAGCGAAACTCTGTCACATTAAAAAAAAAAAAAAAAATTAAACCAGCAGCAAATGACCAAACTCATTTGTATTTTCATTTCCTTTACCTGTAAAATGTGAATCACTTCCTCTGGTACTTGATAATCTGAAATGGAAGTGAGAAGGCTACTGTAGAATTAAGGTAGTGATTCAGTTTCAGTTCTTCTGCCACTATCTGCATCTCAGCTGCACCATGTTCTCAACCTCCTTTTCCCTTTCAGCATCCTTATGTTGGCTGATAAAACTCACAATTTTCCACAGCAGTCTGCACACACAAGCATGCATGCCCATGCTCCCTGCTCTTCTAATCTTCTCATCCATATCCTTAGGGACTCCTGGGTGACTGACTCAACAAAGCTTAAGGGTCAATCACTAATCTCTGATAATGTCCAGCCACTGACTTTCCCCTTCCATAGAGCATTTGCATTGTAATCTTTCCTCCCTGTGTGAAGGCTGGCATGCCTATCTGAGGGCAGGGATCCTTTCCTCAAATTGCACACAGTAAGGGAGAATTTGGATGGAAACATGTTGAAGCAGACAGACCTGTAGATTGATAGGATCATTGTTATTGGCTATAGAAATTCATGATGAGGAGCCTATTGCTGATTGCTAAACTTCTTTCTATGGAGCTGAATCATACCCACAGTTCCAAGGGTGGTTTCAAAATGTACCTATTTGATGATGATAATGGTGGTGATAGCTTGAACTAAATATACATTATCTTTCAATAGGCAGGTTTTAAATGCTTTGACATATATTTAATTATTTAGTCCTTGAAAACCCTATGAAGTTTTTACCATCATTATCACTATCTTACAGATAAGGATGCAGAAATACTGAGACATTAAGTGATTTGCCCATGGCCATAGAGTTTGTAAGCATTGAATCTTACTAACCAAGACAGTATAACTTCAGAGTTTCATGTTCTTAGCTGTTGTATTCTGCAAGTGCAGTTCTCCAGGAAAACATCGGTTTAAACTGGATTCAAACTTGTAGTAGCATAGTCTGACTGGCACATTTCATCAAAAGTTCTTTCAGCTTAGTTATGTTTTGGATTTGCCTGAAAAGTTTCAACTCACTAGTTGTCTAAAAGAATGAGCACACTTCTGTGGGGAAGGTGGGGAGCATAGGTTTGCCTTTATTTCCAAGTGTCTAGCTCTAACCATCCCCTGCAAAGCAGTTGAGGGCCAGTACTGCTGCTCCTCAGGGAGGCAGCAGTAGGAGAGGAGGAGGTAACTGATGGGAAAAGACTCAGTTATCATAGCCAATAGGCCTGCAAAACTAACTTCATCATTACTGGCAAGGAAAAGCAGAGGCAACAGGCTTGTTCTTTCTTTTCCTTTCTCTATATTTGCTTTAAGGCTGCCCTAGCTTATTTACCCCAAATAATCTATAGAAATATTTGCTGGGAAGCATCATAGGCACCTTCTCCTAAGATGCCCCCCATGGACACCCTAGGGACCGTCCCAGAAATCTCCCTTTTCTCTTCCCCGCAAATGTCTCCGAGCCTGATATTTCTCTAAGGTCAGTCGTGTGCCTGTGAGATAGCTACACTTATTTCAGAATCTCTTGGTGTGGTGTATAGACTTCAGTACTTTTAAAGCTCCTTAAGCAATTCTAACATGTAGCCAGACTTGTGGACCATTGACAGTCCCTCTTTGCCTTTCTCACTTTACAAGAAGACCACCTGGCCGGCCTCCATCATACCCTTAGAGCTCTGTGAAGAAAAAAAAAAAAAAAAAAAAAAAAAAAAAGCACAAGTAAGTTGCTTGCTAATTCTCTTTTTCCTATTCCTAATTCCCAGGTAGAGACCATTGGAGATGCTTACATGGTGGCTTCAGGCCTCCCAAAGAGGAATGGCAGTAGGCATGCAGCTGAGATTGCAAACATGTCCTTAGATATCCTGAGCTCTGTGGGCACTTTCAAGATGCGGCACATGCCAGAGGTGCCAGTCCGAATTCGAATTGGCCTGCACTCAGGTAATGACCTGTTAAAGCAAGAGGAAACATTCTTATGCACCTCTAGGAAGACGAAAAAAGCAAGGGAAAAAGGTAGTTCTCTCCTTATGACTGGCCAATGGATTATCCAGGTGTCCAGGGCTGCATCCAGTGTCCTTTATGCCTACCCGAGTTTACTCTCTTTCCAGTACCTGCACTAACGCAGTGGGCAGCAGCTCCTCGTTCCAGGCACTAAACCCTTTAAGTCTACCATTTTGGTTAGAGCCAATATTTCCATCTTTGACTATGCTACGAGATCAACAGGTATATGTTATAGTTAGTTAAATAATGTTATAGTTAGTTAACTAATTCATTTAATTAGTTAAAATCCCAACTTCTGAATTATTTTCCTTCCACATTCATTACCTACTAGCTTCTCTTGCTTCTGTATCCACTCCCCACCTTTTTCTGTTTCTGTGCTCTTCTAGGCTGCTTTTCCTTCCCTATCCTTTTCACCTCTTTCCTACCAAACTTCTTTAAAATATGAATGACATCTACTGTGCCATTTCTTCACTGTCCACTCCCTCCTTAGCCCCTTTGCAATCTGACTTCAGTTCTTGCCACGTTCCCCAGTCCAGCATCTGGCATTCATGACAAGCCTCCCTAAAACGTTCCTTAAATGGCTTTTAAGACATGCTCCTCACCCTGTGAATGCCTCTTTTCACTTTATTTAATGGTTCTGTTGACTCGTCCTGTTGTCTAACATTTTCTGTTAGACAGAATTTATTTTTGTAATAAATTATTGAGTAATTTATTACTCAACCCGCAGCAACTGTTCACTGTCTGATCATTCCTTTTGTCTCTATTTGTCCCTTATATTGGTATTCCCCAATGTTCTGTCATGATTCACTGTTTTTCTCCTCCTACATACTCTCATGGGTGATCTCATTCATGTCTGTGGTTTAACTACCTCTTGTATGCTGATTTCCAACTCTACAGCTTTAGTGCAGTCTTCTACCTTAAGCTTCAGCCTTATATATCAAACTTCCTGCTGATATGTCCACCTGAATGTTCCACATGGACCTTAGGCTCGACACATCTAAAACAGAATTATTTTTTACCCATACAGACTTCCTGTTATTCTTATATTGATTCTCTATTTCAGTTGGTGGTACCACCATGGACCTAGTTACTCCAGTTAGTCTTGGGAGTCATACTCTTTGATTTTTCCCTTACTCTGACCTTTAACATTCAACTAATTACTAAGTCTTGAATACTTTACCTTTTAAATATTTATTGGTCTCTCTTGTCTCTTCCTCATTCCCACAACCCAAGCCCGGGGCACCACATCTCTTGCCTGGATCACTGCATTACCATCTTCTTGCTCTTGCCTCTTCCCATCCATCTTTCTCATGGTCATCAGAGTAATCTGTGTTTCCTTGTCTGTCCTTCCATTAGACTTTAAGCTCCTTGGTGGCAGGAAGCATGTCATACTCATGTTTGCATTCAGAGTTCTTAGCACATACCAGGTGTTTGATTATTTTCTTTTAGAGAAAAGCCGTCATCTGTCACTTGTGCTTCCGTTTCACATTTCCAACTCCCCTCAGTGTACCTCTTCTTGAAGGATTCACCATTATTTCAAATTTAACGTATTTTAAACTTCAAGTTATCTTTTCCCACAAATCAGCATAAACTCACAAGCCCATGCCAATTTTTGCATGGTTGTCAATCAGAGAGCCAGCAAGTCTGTTGGTTCTTTAATGTCTCTCTTATTATTTCTTCATGGCCATCCACTCCCTATCATCACCTCCTTCTCAGTACCTTGTGCTTGGATTACTGTAGCAGCCATCTAAAGGGTTTCCATGGTTTTACTTTTTCCCCTTTCAATGCATTTTATACACTAATCTGAAAAAAAAAACCATCATGTTATTCCTTCCTCAACATTCTTAGTGGTTTAAGATCTCCATCTTGTACAACCCACTTAATCCAAACTTGTCTCCAGTTTCTCCCCAGCTGTGTGAACTAGGCAGACTGTTCACTTCAAGAGCTTTCCTAAATTCTATGTTCAATCCCAACCACAAGCCTTTGATTTATGTCCCTTTTCAACTGTTCAAATTCTACTCACCCATCAAGACCTAGATTAAATCCTACCTTCTCCAATGGACCCTTCTTGATTGTGTAAGGTCCTAATAATCACCTCCTCCCATTTTCTAAATTATTATAGCACTTCCATCTGTGCTATTTATCTTGCCTCAGCCATATGTTGTCTTGGGTTACTGCTTAGTTGCTTCCTCTTTGATAGTATCTTCTTTTCAATTAGAGTATAAATTCCTGGAGAACTAAGACTATGTGTTAAATTTACTTTTTATTCCCCATGGTGCCTAGCTCAGTGCTCAATTGATGTTTCTGAATGAGCGAGAAGTGAATTAAAATGAGAAATATAAGTTTTATCTTTCTTGTTTATTTTTATTTGCAGCAGAAAAAACTTTTGAAGCAAAACACTTGCTTTCTTTAACTGAGGAAAGAGCAAAAAGATAGTTCTGAAAATTTAACTGTAAAACCAGAGCAGAAGGCCAGGCACAATGGCTCATGCCTGTAATCCCAGTACTTTGGGAGGCTGAGGTGGGAGGATCACTTGAGTTCGGGAGTTCAATGCCAGCCTGGGCAATATAGTGAGACTCACATCTCTTTTTAGGAAAAAAAAAAAAAAATCAGAGCAGAAACCAGAAAGGTTAAGGTGCAGAACTCTCTGGATAGTCCCAAACTGACTTTTCAGTATGGCTGCTGAAGTTTTCTCAATTACCTTGAACATGTAAAACAGCCATATTAAAATGTAAGAACAAAAAATTCTAAAAGCGATATATTCTTTGATTATTTATACATACTGCTTTTCCATGCCCCAACACAGATAACGGAAAGTCAACTGTATTTGTTTTCAGAATTTTTGAAATGCTTTATAATAATTCTCTTTATAGACACAGTTTGGGAGCCAGATAAACTCATGAAAACCTTTCTTCCAATCTTCAGGCACAAGAAAGAGTCCCATTTTTTCCTTACAGCAAACATGTTTGGACCCTGAGTCCCTGCCCAGGCTTTTCTGGTTTGGGTTTGATACTTATTTGTCCCTGTTGACAAATATAAGCACCTCTGGTGTAACTGTTACTTGGAGCAAGATATAAATGAGAAGGGTAGTCATGTCTGCATTGTTATTAATTTGCTTTCTTGTAGGGCAAAGAGTTCATTACTCATTATATCTTCCTTCAGATTCCCAGGGCTATATGATGGCAACTTTTATTCTTTTACAAAGATATATTCCTTCCTCTTCGCAGCATTCCTCTATTAGCATTGGGTGCACACCTATTGACTGTAATTCCAACCCCCTACTACTCTATAGGGCCGGTTGTTGCTGGAGTGGTGGGCCTCACCATGCCCAGATATTGCTTGTTTGGAGACACTGTGAACACAGCTTCTCGGATGGAATCAACAGGCTTACGTGAGTACCTAATATAGGGATGGATAGAATGGCACCATCCTACTATTGAGAAGGTGATTCTTCTTTAGAGAGGTGAAAGAGAGCAGGATACTTAATGTTTTAGTGTTTTAAAGAAAAATAAAACATAATTTGAGATTAGTACGATTTATCACACATTTTCCTGGTCTCTAATGGCAAACCAGTAGGGGGTGATGTTGGACTGAGCATGTGCCTTTCTTGTTCCAGAAATGAAGCTGTAGCTTAGTGATACCGAAACAGCTAGTCAATTTGAAAAAAAACAACTAAAATAATATTTTGGGTAAAGAAAAAAATTGGCTGGGCTTGTGGGTTTGTGGGAGTCATGTTGAGAAAAGAACTACAGAAGGCACTGACATTCTCCATTTTCAACTAGTGTGTGGAGATGCACTGAAGCCAGTTGTCTCCCAGTTGGCTGCTGTTTGCTGTTGCAGTCCCCTTTTTGAACCACAAAGGACCCCAGTAGTTCTGGCTTCTTCAAATAGCCCTCTAGAACTTAGCTAGCAATAATCCCTCAATCCAAGAAATTTGGAATTCTGAAATAATTTATTGCAACTTCCCTGTATATAAATCCTTTAGCTTCTATCAAAATACACATAATATCAGAGATACCATTTATTCACTGCTTCTTTGGGAAGAAAACTAATCAAACCATATGCCATTTGTCTGTTGTTTGTAAGATGCTGGCTCAACTCTTTCTTGGTTATTCACTGCCACTACAGAATCACGATGTGCCTTTTGCTTATATCATGGGTGAGCAAAGCATTTTTTAATGCTATTATAGGAAAAACATAGAGAATTACATTAAATTCTATGTGCGGTTTTCATGGATTTTACACCAAAAGAAGGGAAAAAACCCACTTAAGCCCTTAGAAGCTCTGGCTCTGGCAAGACAAGTTCTTCCCAAACTTCAGCAATATACTCAAACCAGTCCCTGATGTTATGGTGGCCTGTACCACAGTGGGTGGTGCCCTGTCTGACCCCACTCCCCATCACTCATGTGTAGAAACAGGCTTACACAATGGGTCCAGTCTTAGTCAATCTAGCCTGTGCAGCTATGATTAAGGAGGCAGTATGGAACCTAGAAGCTGTTGTCAGAATAAATTTTCTGACATCTGGTAAAGTCTTCAAACTCCTTAGATATGGCAGAGGCCATAGAAGTAGTCATCCAGGAATTGCTGCATGAATATGATTTTGCATATGACTTTGCTCTTGAAGTGCAACCCAAGATGAAGTGAAATTGATCATGGAACTGCAATGCAGATTTGGCACTGTACTCTGGACTGATGTAAGCTTGTAGAAGGCTGAAGTCATATTCCGATCTGAACCAGGCAAAACTCCACACATTTCACATTGGAAATACAAAGTTGAGAACAGAAATTGAATTTTGAGATTTGGACAGCACCTCGTCCAATGATCAGCTAGGAAGAGGAAAATGTAATGAATCACCCACAGCAAGTGTTTATTAAGCACTGACTGTGCAAGGAAGTTGTTGTGAACCATACAAAGAGGTGCACACACGTTATCTCTGTGCTAAAGGAGCTGGTTTATGTACTTTTCTAAAAGCTAATGACTATAACCCAAATATGACATTAAATTCTACAATGAATGGAGATCTGTAGAGAGGTAGCCTCTCCTCACATTGGATATGAAATCAGGACATGTCACATGTCTACTAATTAAAAGATTATTTCATAAATATCTCCTTTGTGCTCCTTTGAAACCACTGAGACTCTGGAATGGAAGTGACTCGTGATCCAGCCCTGGAGTGATTCTCCTTACCATACAAGTGGATGGTGGCTGGAATGAGCTATTTCTCTTTTAAGCTGTGTGTTCCCTACCATCAGGATTACTTTACTGAAAGGCTCCCTGAAGACCAGATGCTTGTGGGATGCACACATAGGACTGGCTAGGAATATACTGGCTGGGCATGTGTATTTTAGAGAGTACAACCCTTTTTGAGTAAGGGCTTTGGGTGACTACGAGTTAATGAGGAAGAAAGAAACAACAGTACTGAGCTATCAATAGAAAGAAAGTCATTGTGAGTATACACAAAAGAAACTTCTTGCAGTTCTCTCCAGCCATTCCTTCCTACTCAGGTTGTAATCAGCTTTAGAAAAAAAAAGATTTTCTCAAGCATATGTGAAAATTAGTCTTGGACTTTATTTAAGACTCAATCTCAACAAGCTCTCACTTCATAGGGTGACAGTTTTTAGAAAGGTCGAGGATCTTACCTGAGTTAGTGATTATTCTTCATCAAATAATTACTCTTAGGTTCTAAATAGAATTTTTACATGGTAGTTCCCCATGTAGACCTCTTATTCCAGATTGAGATCATTGGTTGGAAAATAGGATATTCATGTGTATACACAGCTAGGTGCCTTCACCCAAAGGTCAGCTATAAATGTACAGTGTTCACAAAATATTTGTTGGAAGAGTTCTTGGGATATTTCTCATTGATGTTTTATTTTTAAGTACAGTAATATTGAGATATAGTTGTAATAATGCATATGGAAAAAACATCCTTTAGCCTCTTAAGATATGTAAAAACCACCTTAAACTTCATATGAAATCAAAGGAGAGCCTGCATAGCCAAGTCAATTCTAAGCAAAAAGAACAAAGCTGGGGGCATCACACTACCTGACTTCAAACTATACTACAAGGCTACAGTAATCAAAACAGCATGGTACTGGTACCAAAACAGAGACATAGACCAATGAAACAGAACAGAGGCCTTGGAGGCAACACCACACATCTACAACCATCTGATCTTTGACAAACCTGAGAAAAATAAGCAATGGGGAAAGGATTCCCTGTTTAATATATGGTGTTGGGAAAACTGGCTAGCCATGTGCAGAAAGCAGAAACTGGACCCCTTCCTGACACCTTTCACTAAAATTAACTCCAGATGGATTAAAGACTTAAACATAAGACCTAACACCATAAAAACCCTAGAAGAAAATGTAGACAAAACCATTCAGGACATAGGCATAGGCAAGGACTTCATGACCAAAACACCAAAAGCATTGTCAATAAAAGCCAAAATAGACAAATGGGATCGAATCAAAATCTAGAGCACAGCAAAAGAAACAGTCATTAGAGTGAATTGGCAACCAACAGAATGGGAAAAAATTTTTGCAATCTGCAAATCTGACAAAGGGCTATTATCCAGAATCTACAAAGAACTAAAACAGATTTACAAGAAAAAAACAAACAAGCCCATTCAAATTGGGTGAAGGATATGAACAGACACTTTACAAAAGAAGACATATATGAGGCCAACAGACATCTGAAAAAATGCTCATCATCACTGGTCACTGGTCATAAAAGAAATGCAAATCAAAACTACATTGAGATACCATCTCATGCCAGTTAGAATGGCAATCATTAAAAAATCTGGAAACAACAGATGATGGAAAGGATGTGGAGAAATAAGAACACTTTTACACTGTTGGTGGGTGTGCAAATTAGTTCAACCATTGTGGAAGACAGTGTGGTGATTCCTCAAGGACCTAGAAATAGAAATTCCATTTGACCCAGCAATCCCATTACTGGGTATATATCCAAAGGATTATAAATCATTCTACTATAAGGACACATGCACACAAATGTTCATTGCAGTACTGTTTACAATAGCAAAGACTTGGAACCAACCCAAATGCCCACCAATGATAGACTGGACAGGGAAAATGTGGTACATATACACCATGGAATACTATGCAGCCATAAAAAAAGATGAGTTTGTGTCCTTTGTAGGGACATGGATGAATCTGGAGAACATCATTCTCAGCAAACTGACACAAGAACAGAAAATCAAACACCACATGTTCTCACTCATAGATGGGTGTTGAACAATGAGAACACATGGACACAGGGAGGGGAGCATCACACACTGGGGTCTGTCAGGGGGAAATAGAGGAGGGACAGGCAGGGGGTGGGGAGGTGGGGAGAGATAGCATGGGGAGAAATGCCAGATATAGGTGAAGGGGAGGAAGGCAGCAAATCACACTGCCATGTGTGTACCTATGCAAAAATCTTGCATGTTCTTCACATGTACCCCAAAACCTAAAATGCAATTTAAAAAAAATTAAAAAAAATAGATAGGTAAAGCGTGAGAGTACAGCCATAGGAGCAGCCTGTGAAATAAGCTGCTGAAGTCATACTTTCTTCAAATGAGGTCACGTTTCAACTGAGAGCACAGTAGATGCTGGTTCCTCCATCTCAACCTTTGAGTTAAATTAACATCTTTCTATTGCATGGCCTTTCATCTGAGATAGTTTCTAGGAGGCTGATCGGTGCTATAACAAATGCCTTATTTGATCCTGGTGAGGAAAGCGATCACTCCCCATCCTCCTCCTGTGAAACCCTAAGTAAACCTCTCTCAGGACATTGCTAACGGTCCAGTTCATTTACAAGGGAAGACATTTATTACATTGATATTTTCTCTTTAATTTTACCAATGAGAAAGGAGCCAAAATCACGTATCCCTTTCTTTTACAGCTTATCGCATTCATGTCAGTCTCAGCACTGTTACAATTCTTCGAAATCTGAGTGAGGGCTATGATATGGAGCTTCGAGGAAGAACAGAGCTCAAGGTATAAGGTCATTTTATTTTTTGAGCTAGATTACGTGGAAACACCTACTTCTGGAGAGGTCATGGTCTATTGAAACAGTTTACCTGGGAGTCTGAGACTCAGAGCTTCAATTTGGACAGAATCTTCAGCCCCATTTGGGGTTCCCAAAAGATTGTTCTATTTCACCTCAGTTTTCTTCTCTTTAAAATATGGGCATAGTGGGGAGGAATATTGAGATTCCTTCTGCATTTTTCAGACTGTAAGTTGTATCTTTTTCTCTTAAAGAACTGCCCAGAATTTGGCTTTCCAATGGGCTGCCCTATTATTCACATTTTCAAACCTACATTTTTTTCCCCACTCTTTGACAGTGCAAGACATTGTTCAATAAGCCACAGTATTTGTGAGTTTGCATTTTCTACTCAATTTTTCAGTGACCAGACTTCCTGGGTGGAAGGCACCCATTGGCTCACTATTTATAGAGCGACTTTTTCTTTCTCTAAGAAACCAGGAGGAACAAAGTCAGTTTATATGACAGGCAAACACTTTGTAGCACCTTTTTCCCTGTTAGATTATTTGACCTGAGATACAGGATTAGGATAATTTTAGTTTTCTTTTCTTTTTTTCTTTCTTTTTTTTTGCCATTTCCACTACATTCTGTTTATTTATTTTGGAATGACCCAAAGACCACTGGCTGACCCAGCTGTAAGATACCTCAGTTGTCTAATAATCTGACTCCCTCATTTTCAGATGAAGAACCAAGGCCCAGAGAGGTGAAGTAGTTTGAGCAGGGTCACACAGTCAACTAATAGCAGAAACCGGTCAAGACTCAGGAAGTCTGACTTCCTTTTTAGTGATCTTTTCATGACACCATGCTGGTTGAAGATGATTTTCTTAGTGATTACTGTTGTGCAAAGCAAGAGCAGGGCACTAAGTGATACACAATTAGCTTCTGACTTTGGCATTCCTTTTCTAAGTGGCAAGTTACATGTAGCTAGAGTTTAGACATTAAAGTTTGGAAGGGCTAATTCTAGTTGATAACTTCCTTTTATGGCTAGTCCTCGATTTTTCTATCCAGTAGGTCATTAGTATCTTCAAGTAGGTTGGGTGACTCACTTACAAGGAGACAGAGGCTCCTTTCCCACCTCTTGCAGAGAACTTAGACAGTGAAATGATGGGGACAGGGACCTGAGCAATGGATCTAATTGTCCAAAACTTTTGTGATCCCTCTATACATTCTGTCGTTTTTCAGGAGAGAAGACCTTTTCCTCTGTATTGGTAGGCAGAAATTCCTCATTTAAAAGCTTAAGAGTTGTTGCTTTTGAAACTGAAAAATGAAAATGTGTTCCTGCCCCTATGGTTTTTATTGTCCCACAAATTCCATTCAGGAGCACTCACATCTTTGGGTGTTCCAAGAATAAAATCAGGACTCACTTCAAAAGTGCCCTTTGCAGCGTCATGGTTTCCCCAACCCCAGGGAATTTGGAAACATTTTGCAGCAAGTTGGAAACAAAGGCTTTCCCTGATGCCACATTGGGCCTGGGTTATTGTGGTGGCAGGGTCCTTATGAGGAGGAGATTTTAAGAGGGAAGAGAAGAGGGAGCCTCAGAGGAAAGGCAGGGGCAATGAGAAGAAGGAAGAGGACAGGAAGTAAGGCCCAAGGAAAAGTCAGGAGAGGAGGAGAGATCCTTTCGATGTCTGTACCCTCTACCTCCCCACCAGAAGCAGGTGTTGTATTTTGCATCATAGGGGTTGAGGGACATGCGGTTTCTGGTCCACTGGAGACATGCAATATACCCCCAATAAGACCATGTCACCAGCATACTTCAGAAATTCTGATTCAACATTTTCACTCCTCATCTACTCTATGCTACTGGAAGCAAGAGTTGCTCCAGTACATGGGGCAGAAAGATCACATTTGATGGCAAGCCAGGTGTGATTTCACTGTTGATGGATAGAAATGTCTTTTCCTTCCAGCTGGCTGATGCTTGAAATTCCTCCATTACAGCCTTTTCTCTTGGGCTCAAGGTTTGTATCCAGTAAGAACATTTTTCCCTCCATCCCATCTCCTTCACTGGGGTGATGACACTTTACATTGTTTCCCTTAGTCAAATAAAAAACATGGATTAATTGGGTGAGAGAGGAGAACATAGGGCAGTTGATTAATTGACTGGGTTGAGGTTACAAAGAAAGAGAGGAAGTGAGGAAGCTGAAGTAGCTTGTGGGAGGACTCATTTAGAGATGAGAAGCTTGGCCTCTTGGGTCCACTGCCCATTGCCCACTTCAACCCCCTCTTGTAGCATATTGGCAACAAATTATCAATGCCTAACTGGCCAGTTCTGCTTTTACAACATTTCTCTCCTGATGTGCTAGTAATATTATTGTATTACCTCTTCTCATACATGAACCCTGTTTCAGGGTTCATGACAAGTGTATTTTCTTGACAAGTGTGGAGCTCCTTACAGAGATTTTTGTATATATTTAGGCTTATAAGCTGTATTTACCAGAAACTTTTAGGTAGATTTACATTCTGGGGAGACTTTTTCAAATGATTGATCTTCAGCCAGTTTATGTTGTTGTTGCCAGAGGTAGACATTTAAACAATGTTTCATAATTTTTCATTGTAAACTGACAATTTATAATTGTATATTTTATGGGGTACAAAGTAATGTTATGATTTACTAATATAATGTGGAATAACTCGATCTAACTAGTTAACATATCCATCACCTCAAATACTTAAAGTTTTACTTTGTGGTGAGAACATTTGAAATGTATTTGCTTAGTGATTTTGAAATGTACAATATTGTTAACTATATTCACCATGATATGCAATAGAGATGAAAAAATCACACATATTCCTCCTAACTGAACAGATTTTGTGTTTTTACACCATCATCTCTTCATTTCACCCACTTTTGGCTTCTGTAACAACCATTCTACCCTGTGCTTCTATGAGTTCAATTGTTTTAGATTCTACATATAAGTGAGAACATGTAGTATTTGCCTGTCTGTGCCTGGCTTATTTCACTTAGCAATATTCTTCAATTCCATTCACATTGTCACAAGGGATAGAATTTCTTTCCTTTTAAAGGCTGAATAGTATTCCATTGTGTGTATATACAACATTTTGTTATCCATTCATCTGTTGATAAACACTTAGGTTGATTCCAGTACTTGGCTATTGTGCCTAGTGCTGCAATGAACATAGGAATACAGATATCTTTTTGACAAACTGATTCCAATACTTTGAGTAAATACCCAGAAGTGGAATTGCTAAATCATATTGTATTTCTGCTATAACTTTGGAGGAATCTCCATGCTGTTTTCCATAATGGCTGTACTAATTTACATTCTAGAGGCGGGCACTTTCTGAACTTGTCTTTGAATTCTGGGATTAAACAATATTTGGTTCTCAGGCTCCTAAGCATTAGTATTTATTTTATTTTCCCCAGTCTTTTCCACTCATGCCCCAACCCCTAGCTACACACACAAGCAGTTGTGTGTGCATATGCGCACACACACATGCACACACACCAGCAAATTAAATAAGAAATAGTGAGATTGTATTGACAGATCCATGAATGTCAGAAAGTTTGGCCTCAAATTCTTGCCCCATCACTGACTTAATGTCTGACATGAGACAAATAATTTCATTCTCCCTCCATGCTTTTGTTTGTGCACATAGAGGGCTCATCTGACTTGTGGTTGTCAGGAAGCTCATTGATTTCACACACTTTGAATTTCCCAATAGTTGCTTTTTGGCCTCTAGATCTGCCTTTTGACTCCAGTATGTTGGAGAAGCTTTGTGGTACGGAAGGAAGAGCATTTAAAATTTGTAGTCTAGTAGAGCTGGGTTCAAGTCCCAGCTATGCCTGCTTATTGACAAGTCATGTAATCCTCAGGAACCTCAGTGCCCCCATTCGCAGAATGAGATTAATAATCAACCTACATTTTAGATTTTTGTGAGGATTAAATAAGACAGGAGATACCAAAATGTCTTCTGAGCGTCTTGGCAAAGTAAGATGCTATTATTTCAGGGATCTCTGGGACTGCTTACTAATTGATATTGGGTCAAAGAGTTTGCTTCAGGGGTTAGTTGTTGCCATACTTGTTTTCCTTCTTTCTCTCCCTTTAGCAAAATTGTGGAAGTCAGGCAGGTAAACAGAGAGCTAGGATTCAAAGAATTCTTTTGGATGGGCTCCAAAACCTCAGAGAGCTCCTGCATACTCTTTGATTTGGAAGCTTGCCTGAGTCCATAACACTGCCATCCTCTTTTGCAATCATTAGTTTTGGCATCCCAGTGTGTCCCAAGACCCATCCAAATCTCTGGAAAATCCTGGCATCTACAAAGCTCCTTCGGGGATTGGCATGCTCTCCTGATAGCCTCTAAATCTCAAGACAAACAGTCAAATATGGCTGAGGGTGGGGGGCTCTTGAGTTTGAACTTTAATAGTATGTTTTTACAAAATGAGATCTAATGGCACCTTGAGTATTCCAAGTGCACAAGGGTTGAGAGTTCTAATTAATGAAACAGTCTGATTATTTACAGGGCGACTCTCTGTATAAGACACTGCACTAGGTTCTATGTAAAAAGAGAAAGCTTTGGAACCAGAGGAGTTTGGCTTAGTCTGTTTAGAACCTAAAACATGGCCTAGTGGTTGTGTTTAACTGTACTGCGGGCCCCTTAAGGACAGAGCCATCTCTGTATTCCCAGTCCTAGTATAGGAGGAGTGGAATAAATGCAAGAATGAGTAATGAAATATATTTTCAAGTTGTTTACCTCTTCTCAAAACAGAGTGGGCTCAAATATTTCAATTATTTGAATAATTTGAGGCTTAGGGAGAATCTGCTGCCAGTTAATGGTGGTTGGACTATAGTGGTATGCTCTTTCTACTTGCCTCATAGAAGGCTTGTTTAAGCCTTGAATCAAATATTTGTGAAATGCTTTGAGATTCTCAAATTAGATGTGCTAATTGTTATGGTTGTTGTTATTATTATTAAGGGATAAATATATGTGATATAGGAAACAGTGGATTTAATATTTAAAGGGGTCAAATCTAATTGGAGTTTTTAAGTTAAACAATTTAGAACTGCTCCAAATGAGAGCTGCTGAGAGTGAGACCATATTTCAGAATAATGAGTTGGAAACACATCCCATTACTTTTCTGTTTTGGAAAACACATTTTTTTCTTATGGATTAGAGGAAATGAGGGAACAGATGAAAGAGAATGGAAAGGAGAGAGAAGCATATTGAGAGCAAGGTTTATTGAAAAGAGAGGAAGGCAAAACAGAGGCAGAAAATTTGGCTCTTCTGAGCTTATCACTCAGGTCCTGGGTGACTAGCTTGAGTTTATGCTCCTTTCTGCTTCTCAGACCTATGGTTCTTGTCAACCAAGTAACTGAGCTGTAGATGGAGGCCAACTTGGGATCTTGCCCTACCTGTAAGAGTCCCTTGGCTGGAAGAAAGAACACTACAGAAATATAGACCTCTCAAAACAGCCAGGATAATTTAGGCTTAAAATTTAACAGGTTGTTTTCCATTTTCCTCTCTTTTTGGGCTTCGTGAGAGTCACTGAATGACAGGGTAAGGAGGTAGGTAGAATCTGAATATATGCACTCTAGATACAAAAGACCATGCCTTGGCTAATGCCAAAAGATCAGGGCACAAATGGTAAACAAAATCTTTAATTGAGCATCCAGACATTTGGTTACTGTGAAACCAAACATCCACACATTCCCAATGATGAAGCTGTATGGTGGCAGTAGACAAAACATCTGGATGACAGCTTGATATGGTGTTCACTTTTCATTTGGCTGTTCTGGTATAGCCCCGTAAGGTGGAAGACTCCAGAGTGTGGTGAGGCAATTTCTGAGCCAACCTGAATGCTTACATCCTTTTGGAAAATCCATTATAGCATGCTTAAGATTTTTCATGTTTTCTATAATAAGGGCAAAGGCACAGAGGAGACATTCTGGCTGATTGGGAAAAAAGGCTTCACAAAGCCGCTTCCTGTGCCCCCACCAGTGGGCAAAGTTGGGTAAGTGGAGTTCACATTTAACTAGAGTCTTCCTATGCCATACTCTGCCACATTCTCTTCACTACCTATTTTGATGTCTCTCCTGCCCTACAGGTTGGGCCATGGCCTGCAACCAGTGGAGATTGTAGCCTTCCAAAGAAGAAAAGCAGAAAGGCAGTTGGTGAGAAACAAGCCATAAGGTAATGGCCAGGAGGAAAACAGAGCACAGCAGCTTGCCAAATTTTCAAATCTGGGGCTTCCTTTGGCATACATGCCAGTGTCAGCCTACACTCTGTTGGCATAGTGTGACGGAGCTGAAGAATTTCCAAGCTCTACTAAATAGGTGAAAACCTTGTTGTGTGGAGGCCTGCTGCAGAGTGAGCTGCACCTGAGGAAAATTGTCTGCCCTGGCCTGAGTGAGACTGTTGCCTCTTGCCCCCATAACATATTTGAATATTAACAAGTCTGGCCTTGCTCTCTAGTTATCAGACAGGTACACCTGTCTCTTTTATTGGTGAGCACCTGGGCCACATGGTCAGCCACATCAGGTCTTTAGAAACTTACATCTGTCTAGGCAATAGGAATAGGACCACCTGCTATTCCTGGGATCTTTTGGCAAGACCATCTTGGAGGGGATGTTTATATCATTTCCTCCAGAGGCATTGCCTGATCCCTTTCAAGGTTGGCCTTGCCAATCAGAATAAGAGTGGCTACTCTTTGACAGCCTGGTTCGTATTCAGGACAATTTCTCCCATCCTTCCTCCACTCCTAGGATAGTATAATTCTGAAGCAGCAGCAACCACCTAATTGTCAAGAATTCTCCCCACATATTTAGCCATATTTATCTCTGAGGAATTCATTGTGTTCTTGGGCTCTTCTCAGTATCTATTCTTTATTGTGCTTGCTTTTTTTTCTTTTTTAAAATATTGCTTTCTTATTCTCTCTTCAATGGAAACTTTGACCTGGAATCACTTTGCTCCCTCCACATCTCCTTGGAAATCACAAGATTCTAAGGTAAACATTAAGGCACCTCCACATACTCCTGCTCCCTTGTACTCTAACATGTCCCAGAATAATCACATTTCAAGCAGCAACTACCAAAGGCATCCACATACTTTCATATTCTCCTACTAGCCTCTGATGACTTTGTCGATTCTTTGTGACTGTTTCTGTCCTAGGGAAACCCCATCGCATTTTCATTTCTGCAACAATAACAGGTATGCTGAACTAGTCATAAACATTTATGCATCAAAAAGACTTCTTATTAAGTATGTGGCTCTTCTGCAGCCTCCTGCATCACCCCCTGACTCCCTGACACCTAGGGCCAGGAGTTGTTCTGCAGTCTCCCAGTTTCCAGTAACGTACTTTCCTGTGAGTAGGGAAACACAGGAACAACCTCTGATACAGACACATACTCTCTAGCCTCTCTCTCTCTCTCTCTCTCTCTCTCTCTCTCTCTCTCTCTCTCTCTGCAGGAAAGGAAACTGTTTGGAAGCTCTCGAAGGATTTATCCCTTTGGAAGGGTAGTGTGGCATTGTAGGCACCGTACAAGAACCCATTCATTCCTAAGAATGTGTTGGAGATTGCAGCAGAAAATACTGCAACTGACTTACTATCATTGGCTGTGTGCTTGGCAGTGCTTTCCTGACATGCAGATGAATGTTGCTTAGGTCATTTGTAAATTCACTCATCTGGACCTTCTTGACAGAGGGCCAGATTCTGGGTACTGTAGATATATGGAGCTGATTAAAGCCACTGGCTCAAGAGAGGATTCTACCTCTGGTCCTGGCCTTGTTAACACATGTACTTCAATCAGCATGTTAATTGACCACATGGCCTTGGTGGCCTATATAAATCACAAAAATCCCCAAGAAAGGCACCCCAGACAAATTTCACAAGGCTTGTCCTAAATCCAAGCACTTCTATGTTGCTGTTACTTGCTACCACCACCTATTCCAGAATGTTTCCAACTTTCTGTGAATTTACAGGCTGACACTTACTGGGATAGACTCAACTTACAAATGACCTATGATACCTATGAATGCCACTGACCTTCTGCCACCATCATGAGATAAACTTGAAACATTTAAGAGAGCCCTGTGAGGTCAGATAGGGAGGAAGAACGGGAGCATACGGATTCATAGCTTTGGTGAAGTGGTTACAGGGAGCTGCCTCTCAAGCAGGGCCCTTCTCTTCACTTGGTAACTCTTATCTTGTGTCCCCAAATATCCACTGCTTCTCAAACCTGATTTTTGTGTCATCTGGTTGCTTTCCATAAAATTTCACCAACTGGGGTTAATTTTGGGCTGACAAGCCCCTCTTTTTAAATCATTGATGTGCTTTTTTGAGGGTGAGAAGCAATCACCCATATCATAATGAAGGTGAACTGAGCTAGCTGTTCAAAAGGACTTGGCAGTTTCATTTTGATTAGGACAAGGAAAAATGGGGAAGTTGGCAGTTTTGCAGAATGGAGGGTAACAGTGGCAGGCTTGGGAAAACACAAAAGCAGTGGATCCCTGGGAAACAGGAGAAGGGTGCAAACAAATATGAAGGTGGAAAAGTTAGCTGAGATTCCACCTCTTTTAAATCTTTTGAGTCTTTATTGGACTCAAAGAACGGAAACAGAGCATGTTTTCCTTCTGCTATCAGGACCCAGGATCCCCACAAGAGCTTTGATATAACTCTGCTCCATGTGTGTTAAATCAGCCTTTGTGGACTGGCCAGAAACCTGACCACCACACATATAGCACTGTTACTACGGAAGAAGGCATTCCAAGTTTCAAATCATCATCTTACAAATGTGTAGAACATACCTCATTAGTAAGTTGAAGACCACCTGTATATGAACATGCCCTCTCTTTTGTTAAATTTGTAAAACCCTTGTAAATAGCAATGTTTAATTATGCAGACCTGACATGTAATAATGTTTATTTGTTTAACAATCCAGGAAAGTCTAGCAATTTGCAAGCTGTTTATGGAATACAGTAGTGGTGAGGGGCTTGGAATCATTCATATTGAAACCCTGTGAAAGGCCTAGGATATATAAGGTATGCTTACTGTTTTCTATTTCTCCCGCCCAGGAGCAAAGGGCTCCAAGATTTGAATCTTCTCTTGGTGAGGCAATGGAAAAGCTCACTCCAGTTCAACAAATTGTTCTACCTGGGCAAGAAATTATAATTGAGAATGACTACACCTCTGAGGACGACCTAATTCTGGTGTGAGCAGGACGCTGGGAAGTAACTTTCAAAGTTTTGCTCAATACCCAGCTATCACCAGCGAGGCCATATGAATGTAAACTGCAATAGATGTGAGCCTGAAGGAAGAGTAGAGAGCCACCTCCAAGTTTAACCATTCCAAAATAGCAAGTCCAACTTGGATTAAGAGGAGAAGCTCTCTATTTTCAAGAAAAAAATTTGGAGGCACAATGTTTTCCTTTTCATTTCGTTTGTATCTCTAGAAAGTATTTAATGAACATAATTTATAACTCAGATACCATGAGATTACTGCCAGGAAAAAAAATCTTCCAACAAAGTTACATCTGAATCCCAGTCTACTGTGACCTCAATTGGCTGGAATGCATAAGGAAGAAGGAAGGAGAAGAGTCTGGTTAATTGTGTTGTTTAGATAACTGAAGGCTAAGAATTTTCTTTGTTTTCTTACTGCGAATTTTTCAAAATCTTTCCAAAACTGTCATGGTCTCTTTTCCTAAGTTAGGCAACATAATTGGATTGTCCTTGCTAGATGAGTATTTCACTGGGACTCACGGTAGTATTCTGAAGACGACAGAATAAATGTAAGTGATATTGTCTGGGCGAAATACATAAAAATCATAGAATTGAGTGATTCCCTTAAAGTTTTGTACTTTCCCTTCTTTTTCCTGCCCACCCTGACTTTCAACCCTCTACCCCTTCTAAAATAAGTTCCTTTGAACATTTGTTTTTACTTTACGCTTTTAGTTTTCCAGATTCCACTTTCAAGGGGTTATTGGGAGTGGCTTGCCACAGTCACGTGACCAAAGCAATAAGGCTTAAGTCACAGGCATGTTTAAAATAGTTAAGCAAGCTTTTCCTCTTGTTTATTATATTAAAAAAACCTCTTTATTAAAACAGCTGAACCCAAACATATCAGCCAGTAAAGCAGTTAATTCTTTATAGCAAAACTTTTTAAAAGAAATACATGCCTAAGGTATAATTTGATACCTTTCTCACGAATATTTAATTTTTCCACTATCAGCTCACCCTGAATCTGAGCTTACAGTCAAAAACTCTTCTCAGCAGTTTTCCTTCAACCTTCAGTCAAAGCCCCTTGGAATACTCATCTTTTAACGGAATCCAACTTCTCCCAGCCTCAGGTGGTCTATTTACTATGCCAAAGCTGTTCAAGAGGATGCAGAAAAGGTTTAAGTTTCCTTTCAACTTCCTTGAGCTGAGTTTCTAATTCCTTTTTCCAGACATGTCAGAGAAGAAGATATAAAATATCATACTCTATTTTTATCAAGGTCTCAGTCAAAAGCTGAGCTTTTAAGACCTAACTTCTAGAGAGAGGCAAGACCCTAAGGGAGGTTTCAAAGAAATAGGCCTTCAGTTCTTCCAGAGATGATAACACTGTCCTGCAGTATACATATGGAAGGAGAGTTAAAGGAAAGGGAGTGGGAGTGGGGCTACAGCTCCAGAGCCTCCATGAATTTGTATTCTCCCAAACACAGCTCAGTTCAGCACCCTAGGAGCTATAGCTCCACGGTGGGCCTGAAAAATGAACACTGCCTAGCCAAAATCTTTTATTAAGCAACAAAACCCACTGAGAATGATTCCTAACTCTGTATCTGATCTTATCCCCTATTTCCCTCTCTAGTATTTATCTAGTCCAGCATGCCAACCAAGTTTATCTTGTCTAGCCTACTAATTCTGTCTTGTTCATGATCACATCTTCCTATGCTTGATTTTATCATGAGGCCCTTTGTAAAACCATTCCATCCATCTTTAGATTCTTTTTCATTAAGGCCTTCGGCATTGACCAAAACTAAATTTTCTTCAATTTTTCTTAGTGCTTTAATTATTTGGTCAGAAGAAAAACCATTCCCTACTCTCATGTACTATTTGATGTTTTTAGTGAGGTACAGCCTGATTCTCACATACAACTGATTATTTCTCTGTATGCCTGTTGCTACTAGCACACTGGCTTGGGTTGGTCATTAAGACAGAGCAAAAATTTTTTCACAGTTGTTTTCCTAGTTATCCTATATTCCTTGTATAAAATAAAATATTTAGAAAACAATTTAAATAAAGTTTTCAAACAAATTTAAATTTGTCTTATCACATTCTTCATATTTGCTTGCTTTCTTGTGATTTATCTTTTAAAAATAGATTATTTGAAAAAGAAAAGTGTGAATGAACTGCAAGTTAGGTTTTGCTTACTTGAGGTTTTACTCTACTTTACAACATAACTTAACAAAATGCTCATCCCAAGGGGAATTACATAAGTCATTTTCTTTAGAGTATCATATCTCTTCCCCCTTACAGGCCTCAACAGCAATATATGTTCATTGTAGAAAATTTTAAAAAACACAGAAAGGCACACAGGAAGTTAAGATTATTCAAAATTCCTTTAGCTATTTTATTCTATCTTGCCTATTTGGCTTCACTTCATAGAGTATTGCATGTTATTATAGCATCTACCCAGCCAAAGAATATCTGAACTCAGCTTGTTTTCAAATTAACCCACTTTGCTTTTATTTTATTGTTGGCGATACTGTTCGTATTTTTGATGGTAGCGGGTGAGTCTGTTTACATTTTGGGCAGCTTTCAGTGATCCAGTTGTTCTTTCTTGCACTTGGCATAGTAAAAAGAAGGATAGCAGATGGTTATCTACTTCACCAGAGGGCCATAACTTTGCCAACTACGTAAAACTACTCAAACAAGAAGTATTGTTGCAAGGAATTTCATTTTTCCTACCTTGTCTTAGACATAGTATAAACAACTTTATTACCAAACTACTCATTTAATCACATTCTTGTCCTTAATCCAACTAGAATCAACCTGCAAGGATTAGGAGGTGGCAAACAGCCAAACAGTAATACTTCACGCACTGGGGGTCACGTCGATGTGACATCAAATAATTGATTGTAACTTAAACACTCAATTGAATCAAGGAAGCATTAATTAGCCAAAAGGCCACAGGGGATTGATCATTTTACTTTAACCTATTCTCCAGCCAAAGCTGGTGGACCTAATCAATGCATTTCCCATCTGACTGGTTAATTATAACCCATTAAAATAGTGGAATCTGTGCAATAAAATTCTCTTTCACCTCTTCTGTGGTCCATGCCTTCTTCTCAGGTCAAAATAATTGATGAGTAGACCATAGACATGTACACAAGTTTCCTTTTACAAGACATTTCATGTCTGTTATTTGTGTGTTTTTGTGGTTCTCCTGGAGTGGTTTGTGAAACCCCTGCAATCTTACTTATTTTATAGTTTGGTTTGCTGTAGGCCAAGCAATAATGAATCACTTTCAAAGAGAGAAGCAGAAGTGACCATTAATCTACACATTAACTTTGGCTCACTACAAATTAGAGTGGCTCTAGATGCCACTACGATTTTTCAAAAGTGATTAATTCCAACCAAATGAATATACACATAGAATCATATAGCTGGCAGGGCCTTTGGAAACTATCAACCCTGTTATAGTATGGAAGAGAGTATGAAGATTCTGAGAGGAGAAGTTATCCTTTTAAAGTTACCATCTAGTTAATATATAAGAAATTGTTTTACCAAGTCAAAAATAGATCTGAATTATTAAGGAAAACCTCTGACCCTTAGGAATACTTCTTAGACATTCTGGAGGTAAGATCCCTAACTGTGTATGTACAAGTGTGGGCTTGGCAGGAATACTCTGGTTTGGGGTGTTTTGAGCTAGGTGACTTCTGACATCACAATCCAGAAAGAAATAGAGTACAGAAAGAAGACAGCAGATTCCTTATCACTAAATCAGCTTTACCATGCAGACAGGATCTCATCCATAGCCATATATGCCCCTATCTAAAGTGATCTGACCCAAGTGGATGGAGAATAAACCTCTAATTCTGCCTGGCTCTATGGATTCATTTGTAGCTTTTAGCACAGAACAAAGTCCTATGGAACAAAGGCTTAGAAATACATGAGGAGATGCCTGACTTTGGAGGACACCAAAAATATATTCAATGTGTGCAGTATCCAAATGGTAGCTCCTATATATAGTGAGGGAAGTCAGGGGAGAACTAAACATGCGAACTTTAAAGCAAGATGAGAACTGAATCTAAGTACTACTTGTTGACACCACCTTTCTCTTCCAGAGCCAGGAGATTTCCTGAGTTGTGGGCACTGTTGTGTATCCACTGCATATAGACTAGCCAAAGAAGGACTTTACTTCACGGGTGATTGAGCTCATCATGGGAAATAGACATAGGTGAACTTCTCATGACCATGGCCTCCTGGAATAAGAGATCATAGGAACAGCAATTGTTCAAGTAGCATTGGTAATATGAATGAGCCCTCTTGGGGATTAGCTGATGGAGCTAGTTTGGATTTGCTGTAGTCCAAGCAATAATGAATGTCTTTCAAAAAGACACTGGAGGTAGAGGTGACCATTAATCTATATACTCACTTTGGCTCACTATTAGTGGCAGTGTTTTAACTTCATTGGGTCATCCTTGATGTGGTTTAAAAATAAGTCCAGCTTGTTTTGTGGGGCATCCCTTGGTTGAGGAGGAATATAGGGTCAGATTAATGTTTTCTGGGTAGTTGTGAGACTGCAGAACCTGCCTCATTGGTCAGATTTGGGTTGACTTAGTCAGTGACCCCACATGACAAACATTAATACAAAATATCCCCACTTATGCCTATAATTTGAAAGTACAACACTATTTTAATGATTTTTAGTGGCAGTATTCCAGAAGTATATTGTAAGATGATTACGTTACTTCAGAGAACTAATTCTTTTTCTTCTGTGTGTGTATCTTTTCTGTGTTTAACTGTATTTTTCTGGGATCACAGTTCACCTCTTGTAATTTTCCTGCTCCAGATACTTCAATGTTCCTCTAGTTTTGTAAATTCCTTAGTTGGTTTCCAACCTAGCTTTCTCTACCCTTCTTCTTGCAGTTTATTTTCTCGTCAAAATCTATTATTAGCTCTTTTCCTTGACCTTTTCTGATTCCATGCCATTATTTATGCTGTTTCTTCTACCTAAAATTCCTTCTCTGTCTCCTACCACCACATGTACAAATTCTACTCATTCTTAAAAGTCTAGTCAAATATCCCTTCCCACCAAAAGTCTTCCTTGTTCACTATAATTATGTCTCCATTTCGGAATTCCTACCTATACTTCTTTAATGGTTATGTAACATTAACTTATTTTACAGTTGTTTGTATACTTGTCTTCTTGTCCTAACTATATTTAACCTAGATTTTCAAAAATGTTACAAGCTTCTTGAAGGCAGGAACTATGTTTAATTCATCTTTGTACTCTGCACAGTGCCTGATACATACAACAGGCACTCAATAAATTGATGTTAAATAAATAAATGAATATTTCTATGTCTTTCTATGTATCCTTTTTTTCTGTGCACTTTCACTCGTTCTTTTTTATCTAATTTTTTCTTGTGTTCCCATCCATCTCTCTATCTACCATCACCCTCTCTCTCACCACCTGTGGAGACAGACAGACACACACACACACACACACACACACACAGACACACACACACACACATAACTTCATAGGTATTATTTAAAAACAAAGTATATTTTGTATTTCTTGTGTTTATTAGAGGTTAAATTCCTTGCTCTTTATATAAAATGTGGTCGAGTGTTTTTATATTTTCTTCATAAAATACTAAAGAGCTAAATTAAGTCACATTTTTAGTATGTCATAGTTGGTTAACTTTTTTTCCTTGAGGACCGCTAACCTTTGATAGTGAAAATATTCCTCATTTGTGCATTGAAAAGAATCTAGCTATTGTTTACTATGGTTTTTATTTGTGACATTGAGGGTAGTCAATTTTATGAATTGTAATACTTAGCCAAGAGAAATGGACACTAAGAGACAAAGCAGGGGCATGCATGAGAGCTCTCTTAATAGATATGAAGGGATACCATTGAGAACAGGATTTTATTTGGTTTTAGGCTCTTCAGAAGATAGAATCTGGATCAAATGATGGATGCTGGGGACATAACATAAACATAAGGCAGAACTTTCTAGTAGTCAGAGCTATCTGAAAATGAATGTTAGAGCCTGAGAGATGATGAGTTCTCTGTCATCAGGGATATTCAAACAGAAGTTAAATGGTCATGTAATGAGAAGTGAGTAGATGATATTTTGAGCATTGTATGGGAGTTGGGATAAATGATATTTTACGTTCCATTCCCACTGTGAGAGTTTTTGGTTCTATGATTCCTTGACATACCTTCCTAAAACAGATGTAAGTGGTTTTCAATTGTTAAGAAAGCATGAAAACAGATCAATTCAAACCCCAAACTAGAAAAAGTTATAAGAAACGTAACTAGAAGCTTCAGACAGCTCCATGATAAATCACTGTATTTGCCCACTAAATCTCACTCTTTCCTGGCAGTTAAAGCAAAAAGGGAAGAAAACAGCAAAATTGAGTCGCATGGTTCTCTATCAAGTAAAAACAAAACAAACAAAACAAAACAAAAATGCCTGTGAGTTAATCTGCCTAGAGAGATTTCTTTTTCCTGCCACTGAATTCCAGGAGGAATTTATCATGTGAATCCTGTATAATAGTTATTTTTATTATAATGGATAATGTGGTTTTATAAAAAATATAGACACAATCTTCAAATGGAAATATTTTTTCTTCTTCTTCAAAAATAAACAAAAGGCTGTAAAATGTCAAATCTTAAGCCCTTAAGGGTCTTTCTCCCACCCCAGAAAGCTAAGATATTATGGCTCCAGTAAGTTGTTTTCTGTTGATCTGGCTTAATATAGGGACCTGGCACAGAGAACCTACAAGAATAGACAGCTAACGTGACCCTGTTCAGCCCTCTTGGATCACAGAAAATTTATTGTTGAATCCCTGAGGATTGCCTCAAGGAGAATGTGTGCCAATTACTTGCTGGCAAAGAACAATAGAAATATGCATCCTGGTCCCACCTACCTTGTAGGGATGCCATGAGGATGGAAGAAGAGAAAATCAATGTCAACACATTGGGGAAAGTTACAATTTCTAACCAAATGTCAGGGTGAGGGATAGTGCTATTGCCACCAGACTGCATCTCACCAGGGCTCAAGCCTCAGGGAGGGCTTCGGTGGTTAGCTGTTGGGAAAAGCCAATTTGCCAGATCTGCTATGAAGTGTCATTGCCTATCTACAGGGGCAAGGCACTCAATTTCAGAAAGAGATGAATTTATGAAATTAATAAAAGTTTTATGGAGTCAGGACCCTTCTTGACAAGTGTCAGAGTAGTGCCTTGATCAAAGACATAGGCTAGCAACTAAAAGTAATTTTGAAACTATTCAAAATTTTGCATTAAGCAAAAGCCATGAAGAACTCATGAAAATCTCCTCTATCTTTTTTTTCATCATATACCAAGGGTTTCTAGTGCCTCTCCTTCAATTCATCACCACCCTTCAACTTTTCCTGTACCTTCAGGTTGAACAGTTGCTTTTCTCAATACTCCCTTCTCTCCGAGCACTTTATTATACATATTGACTTAGATTGTAGCTTAAATCTTTCACCCCTGCCTCTCATGTGTTCTTGTTCTCTCTTCTTGATTCTGTACTAAAGAGGTCAAGAATCAATTTTGCCCACGATAGGAGGGAGTGGTTGGAACTGTGAGAGTCTGAAGAAACAAAAGCAAACCTCTTCTTGATGCACTGGGGCAGGGAAAAAGCTGTAAACATACACACACTTGAAACTTTTATCCGAGCACACTGTGACACAGAACTTTAGTTTGTTCTTTGGACAGAAGAATGATCAGAAGCACTCCATTTCAAGCCCATTTTGTTATTAACACAATTTCTTTTCTTTTTTACCCCAACTTATAAACTAGGCTTTTCCACAATAATTAGAAATAAAGATATTTGGAAACAAATAGTTAATTATGGCAAACCCTTATGTTAAACATGGTTGGGAATGATAGCAAGCCTGGTGGAAAGGCTTTGACTCCTCTTAGATTGGTGGTATAAATCATTCTAAGAGTGCCACCTTCAACATGCAGATAGGTAGCAAGGAAGGGATGGCTGGACTTCCCAATGCTTCCTAAGTCTGTCCTCTACAGTGCAGCTTCCATACAGTCATGTGCCACAGAAGGACAGCTTGGTTAATGACTGTCTGCATATAAGATGGTGGTCCTATCAGATTATAATGCTGCATTTTTACTGTGCCCTTTCTATGTTTAGTTACACAAATGCATTGGAACCTGGAACAACATAGGTTTGAACTACATGGGTCTACTTGTATGTGGATTTTTTAAATAGAAGTTACACTAAATGTTTCTGCCTCTCCTACTTTCCCTTCCACCTCCTCTACCTCTTCTGTCTCTGCCACCCCTGAGACAGAAAGACCAACCCTTTCCTCTTCCTCCTTCTCATCAGCCTGTTCAATGTGAAGATGAGAAGTATGAAGACCTCTATGATGATCCATATGCACTTAGTAAATATATTTTTTCTTTCTTATGATTTTGTTGATAACATTTTCTTTTCTCTAGCTTACTTTATCATAATAATAAAGTATATAATACATATAACATACAAAACATGTGTTAACTTTTTTAATTTTTAAAAAAATTTTGTGGATATGCAGTAGGTATATATAAGACCATTTATGTTATCAGTAAGGCTTCTGGTCAACAGTAGATTATTAGTAGTTAAATTTCTGGTAAGTCAAAACTACACGTGGATTTTGACTACATGGGAGGTCAGTGCTTCTAACCCCCACATTGTTCAAGAGTCAACTGCATTTACCATTGTTACAGTTGACTGCAGTATTCAGTACAGTAACATGCTGCACAGTTTTGTAGCCTAGGTGCAATAGGCTATACTTCATAATCTAGGGGTGCAGTAGGCTATACCATCAAAAGTTGTGTAAGTACACTCCACAATGTTTACATAAAGACTAAATTGCCTAATGATGCATTTCTGAGAATGTATTTTCATTGCTAAGTGACACATGGCTATCTCTGGTTTATGGCGTGAAGTCCTAAAGTATTAGGAGCACCTTTTCAAATAAAAATGCAACCCCAAATTATAAGACCAAATGTAAACATTTCAGTAACTAATCACACCATTTTCTGAATTGACAAGAATTCTGACTAAGAGTCAGAAAATGTTAGTGGTTGATGACCATTACATACATCCTTAGTCATTTACCTAACTGTCCTGCTGATAGGCCTTTAGATATTCGGTTTTTGTACCTTGTCGTTCCTTTTATGGTCCCAATAAATAGATTCACAGAATTTCAAAGCTGGAAGGGATTTCAAATATCATTTGGTTCAACCTTATTATTTCAAAAACTGAGAAACTAATCCCAGAAAATAAAGTACCATTTCTAAGTTTAAACAGCTGGCTAGTGGCAGAGCTGGGACTAGAACTTCCTTCCTCCCTGTTTCAGGTGCATAGTTGCTGTTAAATTCAAACACTGACTGTCAGCAGAGTATCCACTATTGAAAATGCACCGTTTCCTTAATAACTTCTGTATTTCAGTTCAATATATTCCGAACCTTTTCCATTATGAAACTGATGAATCATTAGTGACTAATTAGATCTTCATGTGGCAGTATCATTTCTAGCCTGCTCCTTGATATTGCACTTTATCCCTTCCTCTTTGGCATCGATTGAAAAAGCCACACAGACTATTTTTTGGACGAGCTGAAAGGAAAGACCTCAACTTTTGATTATATAGTCTACGCTCTTAAGGATTTCCTGACTTATATTTTCTAAAAGTACTTAGTCTTTAGATTTTATAAGGAAGTAAGCATATTATTCACATACTTACATGAATAATATATTTATTAATCTTTTTCTTCTCCCATGGGAGAAAGGCATGAAATTGCCAATCTATGGATCAATTTAGGATCACATATCGACCAACTAGTTTCCTTTTCCTCTGGCTTAATCTTTTGACTGTGAAAAGTTACAATTAGGACAAGTATCTACTAAGAACTGCCAGATCTGCTAGATAATGGCTTTTTAGATTAACTTTTTAAAATAATGCTTTCATTGTATTAGGTTAACTGATTTTAAAATTCTATCTTGTGTTTATATCAATGAGTGTTAATTCACTTAATTGTGACACTCACCAGGGTGGTGTCATCTATCTTGGGAAAGAGAAAACTGAATGTATTCAGTCAGTTGTAGGCAATGAAGATATTAACCTCAGTAGAACTTTAGTTTTGACCTGTTCTACCTGTTTCTCTCTCTCCGTCGTTAACATAGAGATAAGCTTAGCTTTCAGAAGCATGATTTAATATGTTGAATGCTAAC